AGACAAAAATGCAAAGATGTCAGCACAAAATCAGCTATAATACAATATTTGTCGATTATGGAGGTGTGAGCAGGTTTCTTATCATTAATGCCAAGTTCGTTTTAATAAACCCCTCCCCCCCAGAAGGTAAGAGTCCCCTCCATTTAAACAAACTAGGGCTTGTCATACATAAACCCCCAACCTGCCTGCCAATGGGTCGAGATTTCTCTTTGGCAACCTCCCAATGGGGTGAGATGGTGAGATTGGGCCTGGGACATCCCTTCAAAACAGTTCAAAACCTTACTTTTTCAACCATTGAACATCAATTGAACAAAAATAACTGTAGGGGGGGTTCGCACATGTTTATTGATTGGGAGGGACCAACCCAGAGATTGCCATTTTTTTTGGGAATGTGGGTGTTGATGAATTCGGGGATGTTTAAGACATGTGAACTTCGTTAACTTAACATTCTTACCATATGAACTTCGTTAACTTAACTTAACATTATTCATTTGAGCTTGGTTATGTTGGGTTCAAGAACTTAGACCAGACATTCCCAGATGGTTTTTTTAGGCTGTCCTTGGATAGCCCACGAATCCTGAAGGATCCCACGCAGAACTGGGATAAGCCACGAAAAATGAGGCTTTCCATAGTCATGGGATTTCCCAATAGCATGGTGACTTAACATGATCTAACCATATGAGGCTTTCCATAGTCATCGGAAGATTTCCCACTAGCTGGATGCTTTTTCCAAAATGGACAATCCGACAATCCGATCTAGAAATGGATGATTTGGTAGCCCTACGACTTAGGAAACCTCCAGAGAAAGGGGACTTAGCCAATCTAGTGGCCTATCCCTCGGGGTCAGTTTCACTGGCGCTTCAACTTCGTCTCTTCACTACCCATTGATGTTGAAGCCCATTACTGGCAAATGATGGCACCTTTTGGATGGAAATATAGTGTTGTTACCTCTTTATCTAGCATGTTTTGCTCCCCCCAAACGTATTACTGGTTGGTGGTTTGGAACATGTTTTTTTTCCATATATTGGGAATAATAATCCCAACTGACTCTCATATTTTTCAGAGGGGTTGAAACCACCAACCAGATTACTTTTTTTTCAATGGCTTCAGCAATTTTGAGCCCGGTGTTACCCCAGCGCGGGGATCTGAAATTTCGGCCCAGCTTTTGCTCAAAGATCACACCTGGGACTTGAACCAAGATCTCAGGCCCCAGCCTATTGTCTTCTTTGGATATGTACGCCATGCCAAGTTGATCTTCTAGCCTCGCAACGTTATTCTGTACAGTAATGATGTGGTAGATCTTGGCTTGGTAGGCTAATGAGTTATTTCAATGCCCTGACATGGAACATGTCTCACTTTTTGGTTCCTGTGGGGTATCTAGGTATCTAAGGTTGGCCAGCGTCCCCTATTTCTGATGCTTAGTTCCTGTTTCAATCAACAATCATGGTAGCCCAATTTCTCCAGACTTGATGGGACATTGAAGGATACCAACAATCTTGTTTGGTGCTTAAGCTTTATTTTTCACAGTTAAACCATGCTAACCCCCATTGTTTCTGGCACATTCTGGAACTAGTTGAGGTACAAAAACCATAGAAACTTTGGGACACCGGCTGTGCAGACCGCCGTTGCGTTTGCCAATGGCACGTCGTGCCCTGAAACGTCCTGCAGGTGATGCCATCGTCTTGCCAACCACAGTGATGCCATCGATACATTTTTTTGTGCCCACGAGATAGATAATTCTTATTGTCGATGGTATAACTTAATCAATCTATATATATATATACATATTATATACATATTATGTATAACATATGATATAATTGTACTAGATACATGTGATAAAGTTGGTTTATAACTATACTAAAATTAGGCCCTGTGGATCGAAACACCTTGTACGAATGGTTTAAAGATCAACAGAAGTGGTTAACAGACCAAATGACTGTTTAACCAGCCAACAGTGTGTATTTGAATGATTCAGAATGTATTTTGTCAGCAGAAGACATGTTTCCAAAATGGGGATGTGACATGATGTAAACATCAAAAGCAATGGTTTAAGCAACAAACATGGAGGTGTAACGGTGTAACTGTAACCCACCACAAATTGACATTTCAGCCACAAAATGGTTTTGACCCCAAAAGTGTTAAGACAGCAGCATAAATGAATTTGACCCGCGCAAAACAGGATTTACCCAACAAAATTGCATTTACATGCATTTACAATATTGAATCTATACGAAAGAACAGAAAATCTGAATTTAACCCGTAACATCCCGCAACAATTGCTATTGAAGCCATGAAGAAACGGTGATTTCAACCCGCAGAAATAGGTTGAAGTTGCAGACCCCTAGGGCCCTGGGCCCAGTAAGATTAGTACACCTGGTTTGTGGGTTTTCACCGGTTGAATCCTTTTCATTCAGATTTCCACGGTTGAAGCATGTTGAACCCAGGAAACCTGGCAGTTTTCTATGGCACCCTGACTTCATATCGGGTGGTCCAAGTAGGTGGTAGGCATCAAAAGGAACAATCAGTTCGAAACTTGGTGTTCAGGTTTAGCCCGGTACTTGGGATCCCCCCAAAAAAGCAGGTTGAACTGTGACCCGCCAACCAAAGACTACATAGTTGTTGTCTTTCCGTTGTAGAGTCCAGGGAATCCAACTGACCAAGTCTGGTGCTGGGATTATATCCTGAAGCCGCAACGGGACCATGGTAGGCTTTTGGCACCAGCTCACGGTGTGATAGCTTGTCCAGTCTACCAAGCAAGTCCTGGATGAGAAGTTCGTCAGTTGGATGCTATGATGGCTGGTGAATTAATAGAAGCTCCCCTCTGCAAGAAAAATAACTGTATCAAAAGCATTCAAAAGCTGGATAGTCCATGATAGTCCCACATTTGCCTTTGATACTTACATGGTTGGACCCTAAACCATCCATTCCAGCACAATTTTGTGCACATGTGACGAAAATGGGAAGGAGTCACTGACCAAGGAAACTTATACCCCTAACTTGCAATATCTAGGAGAACATTGTACCAATTGATAAACCAGAGGACGTGGGGTGCCATATGTTCATACAGTTCCATTTCAAAGACAGTAAATATACCAGGATCGCATGCTGATCTGTGCCGAAGGAATCTGTTTGGGAGATGCTATGGCGTAGGCATAGATCAACTATTAATACCTTGATTCAAAGTGTACCTTTACAGTATTATATATATAACATTATATCACAGAATATATGTATGTACATGTACAGTATGTGTATATATATATATTGTGTATATTTGTATGATTATATATATATGATGCATATTATGTGCACGTGGCGTACATATTATATATATATATATATATTGCTGTGCTCATGCATGGGGTTCATGGGGTCGGGCTGGAATTATCTATATCTAATTTATATATATATTGATCTTATTATATATATATATACATAATCATCTATTATATATAATATTGTATATTATTTATATATATACCTATGTCAATTCACATGTGTCTAGCCTCAGTGGCAAATCAGGTTACGCCCCACGGCGATCTTTCAGGTGATGGTCGATGGATCCCAAAAGAAAGCGAGGAGGCTGCGGCGTAGGGGGGATCCCAGGAGGCTGCGGCTATACTAAGCCTGGTTAGGTCAAAAGAATGGATGCACTAACTGTGAACTAACTATGCTTTTTCTTACCACTGAAAATTGATTAACCTATGGTTGTTTAACATAGCTATGGAAAGAGGCTCAGTTATAGATGATAAAGATTGATAAAGCATATGTCAACATGATGATGTGCCGTTCTTAACACTGGTGATTTTCCTGTTCGATACGTTAAAGAACCAGTACAGTAGGGCCCCCAGTCGATAGGCAAAAACGTTTTTTATAGCAATGCAAGCTGTTGTCTGAATGATAGAGATTGATCTACAGTTGAACTATTCATAAATTTGACAACTATTTTTATTTATTTCATAGAATTGGATGATGGGAAAATTTACAGGAAAGCCCTATATTTGATGGTAAAAACCATGGTTTCCTGTAGATTTTCCCTTAAACCAGTCCAGTGATTATTACTTATTTCTAAACCAACATTTGCGGGGGGAGTGCCACTTGGTGGGTCATCGCTTCTCGTAGCGTTGTTCAATTGCCATGGGTGAGGCCCCCTAGCTAAGTTAACAAATAGATCTTGGATAAGATGTGGGTTTTATCGGAGATACATCTATAATCACTGATTTAATGGCTGGGACTATAGATGATTATAGATGATTGTAGATGATTATAGATCAGTATTATAATTATAATAATCTATAATTATCTATAGTTAACGGGATTTAATGGCTTTATAAAGCAACAAACATCACTGGGGCTTTTTTTTACCCCAAATTAGTATTGAAAGCATCGCCGGAGTTAGGGCATTGGCGAATCCCACGTCGTCTTATCTACGTGAGTAGAATGTGGAATCCAAAATGGATTTTTGGATGTGGATTCCACATTCTACTGATGTAAATCCATTTGGATGTGGAATTACTGTATTTCAGTTCTTTGATTTGAATGAAGTTTCAGATCCAAAGCCGTTTCAGATCCAAAGCCCGATCCTATGGTACAAACTTCCGCTTCTGCGGTTTGTTATGATTTTTAGAGCTATCCAGGGCTGGAGGAAGTCCTTTGCTTCAACAGGAGATAAAGATGCAACCCCCAGACCCCCAGACGAAAGAATGGGTCAAGATGAAGCCAGTTTTTCAAAACACTCATCAGATGAACCCGTGATAGATCGTGATTCTCATGGAGTGCAACGACATGATAACTCCTTATCACAGATTCTGATAGTAGGACATATGATGTCCGAACAACTGTTCTTTGTACTTGCCATGTGAAATTATTCAACTGTCTGATTGTCAATTAACGGTAGGTGTTGCCACATGTTTCATGGAGGGCATGCAGTTGAATCAATTTTCACGTTAGTTTTGGCCCAGCTGTTGCGATCTTGGACGTTGACGTGTGGGGGGCACATGGCTTTCAATCCTGTGCCGGCTCAGCTGACGGTGCACGTTCGGTGGCCAACTCACCCTGATGATGCCGAGTTCACACTGGACAGTGTGGTCGCTGGCTTGGGGATGTCAGACATGGATTGCGACATCAATTCATTGGTGATTCCAGCGTCCACCCCCTCACACAGGGTCCTGACACCACCATTAGAACTCTTGCCGAACAGCTGGGTTCCCTGGGACACGTCATTGTCCGAGAGCAGGAGATTTCATTTGGTCTTCTTAGATCGGCAGCTGTATGCGGATACCGTCGAGCTCGCCAACACCATCCAGGCAACTATGGACTGGGTGCCGACTGCTTGTGCGGAGTGGTCCCACACCTACATCGAGCTCACGCTGCTGAATCATGCGGAGATGGTCGAACTTCAGGCTCGTCAGTTCACCACGATCCAAGGGCTGCAGAACCAAATCATACTCTGGTTCTTTCAAACTAGTATGTGTCAAGATTTGGATGCTCTGGTGACAGGATGTATACTACTCGCGGGTGCAATTCCAGTTATAAGAAATCACATCTGTGATAGTGTTTATACATATATATATATATATACCACACGATATATATATATAATATATAATATATATATAATATATAATATAAATATATATAATATATATAATATATATATATAATATATATTATATATAATATATATATATAACGATAGTTATAAGTTATAAGGGTCCCATATCCCAACTTATGGTTGTGAGGGCCGGTATGGTCTAGTGGATAAGACGCATCCCTCATGCGTCAGACCCGGGTTCAGTACCTGGGTGCAACACTAGGCGGACAGGCAGGCCACTACCCCACCCCTGCAGTTAAGGGGATGAGCTAGGGTGTGGTCCGTAAAACCCTCACACCAACTTATAGTTGTTGTAATCCCATGGATATACTCATCAAAGCTATGCCAAAGATGACCCACGCCTAGCCCTGCACCCCCAGTCGCATCCAATGCTGAGAGCCGCTATGACCCGTCGCCGCAGGAGCTGAGTTTCGAAGCCTTCCAGCAAAGTTGGTTGCCATTGCCGGAAACCGATCTGGAGCCGGTGAAAGTTGGGTGATGGGAACCTGGCACCTGGCACTCCTTTTTCGCAGCTAACATGGAACTCTAAAATTGACATTGAATCATATTGAAACTTGAAATTCTTGGCGTGGCACCTTTAGTACTTTGATCATCTTTGATCTATATGCCGACATACACTAACCAAAAACATCTGGGATGACCACATATCTCGCAAGAGCGACCCTCTGCTTGGTGGTTGAATATGGTTTTGTCTTGAACTTTGGAATACCCCAAGTTTACAGCCACAAATTTCCATGTTCACAAGACCTATGGTTGCAATCAGAGTCAGAGGATGATATCTAACCGCCAAATCATGGTGAGATTGTTATTGGAGTGCCTAGATATCATGTGACGATGGGATTGGACTGGATCCTTTGAGAACTTAGATCCCATAATTTTGTGAAAATTATAGCGTTATACCCATCTGACTGTACTTAATTGTAGATATAGCCTTTTTCTAGCCACAGTAAATCCTGGTTTAACCTATGTTAGTTATCAACAAATTTACCAATATAACGGGGGCCCCTTCCTGTAACGTAAATCACAATTTTCCCGTTCCACTCGCAGGACTATTATTTCAGCTCCTACGCCACTTGGATCAGAGATGGGTCAGAAATGGTTTCAATGTTGTGTTTTTTGTGGTTAAGCCCCACATGGGGAAACCTTGGATAAAATCATATGTGTATTTATATATATATATACATATATATATACATATATATATATATATAATTTTATATACACACCCCAGGTGAGCCCAAAAACAATCCAGAGTGATGGGTATTGATCTGTTGAATTTACAAATTTGGAACTGAACAAATGGCCAGATCTGAGAAGAATATCATGTTCCATGCCCAATTGTTCAGGGTCGCATAGTAAGTATGTTTAGAGTTTATTTCTGGTACTTGTACCAGTGTGAGCGGCACTTGAGGATGCTCCTAAAACACAGAAACGCCAGCCGTCTCTGATAGAATAGTTCCCCTCCTCATAATCCATAATCCCCAGCAAGGAAGCTCGAGTGTTGGGGTTCCATGCGAAAAAACTATCTTTATCACTGGTTGGTGGTTTGGAACATGAATTTTATTTTTCCATTCAGTTGGGAATAATTATCATCATCCCAGCTGACTCAGCTGACTCATATTTTTCAGAGGGGTTGAAATCACCAATCAGATCATTGCCTCTAGGACACCCCAAAGATTGTAACTGGTACCGTAGTGATCTTAGGTCCCCACAAATGAATACAAATGAGTGAATTCACATCTATATACTTTCAGGGATTTTTTCGCCACCATGTGGTGCCCATAAACTGGCTATGAGTTAGTTTATACATCCCCATAAACTTCGTATTATACGTATATATATATAATATTATATACATATATATATATATTATACAAACAAGTGTTACATAAACTTGCATACCCAAATAATTCCAATTTATATTCTGGTACCAGTACCCCGGATTAACACAACCCCTATAGGTGAAATTTGAGCACCAAGGGGTCTCGTTTGCCCAAGGACCACCCTATCAGAAGGCCTAGCTTTCATCAACCCAGTGCAACAAGGAAAGAGATGTAAATAGTCTTGACTGAGTACTGCAAAGACTGCAAAGTTCTATCATTGGGACTTTACAAATTTTGGAAGTTGTCACCATTGGGTGCAAAAAACCCACCTCTTTTTGATTGACTACCCTCTGGTAAACTAACATAACTATGGAAAATCACAATTTTTAATGGCTAAATCCACTAGTACTATTTCTATCTATTTCTATGGCCATCTATACAATAGCTATGTTTGTTTACCGGAGGGTAGTCGCCTCTGAGGCCCGCTTGGGCATCCATGAAGATATGCTCAAGGAACGGGGCTTTCAGCTTTCCGTGAAGCGCAGAGGGAGCCCAGAGGGCAATGGGTCAATGGGTCAATGTCATCCCTGCCCGGTGTCACTAAATGTTCCCCACATAATCTTACTGGTGCTTTTTACGTAGGGAATGGAGGGTTGCTGGGGATTGCTGGGGGTTGCTGGTATGATTATTAGTATTATTGTGGATCATTCCCGAAAATTCCCTACTAAGCACCAGTAAGAAATAGGCTCCATGTCCATTTCTTTATTTTTACTGGTGTTTTTCAATGTGGCAGTTGGAAAACAATAGGAAACCAGAAAACCACAAATGCGATTCGTCATTCAGCATTGATTCAGCATCCTAATAATCAAAACTAGTTAACCCTGGGGTGGTCATTATTAGGGTCAGCCTTTTGAAATCAAAGTTGTATGTTCTTTTTTGACAAAATATGGTTTTGCTTTTAGAAGGAAGCCTCTCACCGTTACACTAAACACCCCGGGCCCGATAAAAAAAGACGTTTCGTATTCGGGGAGAGGATTATGATGGTCATGTCAATAATTGTCAATAGAACTTCTACTATCCAAGATGTGCCACCAGTTTCTCTAAGATTCAGGATGCAAAAGCAATGGAAAAAGAGGCGAATACCAGCCATCGCAGGACGAAGTGCGCACGGGGAGCTACATGGAAGCCATTGACAGCAGCCAGGTGGATGTGGATGGGGGGAAGCAGCCGCGGATCAGCTGCTGATGTACTGATAACATCTGATAACTGGATATGTGCGGATATATATGTGGATATGGGTATGGTGATGATATGTGATTGATGACAAAGCCTTGGAGTCATCAATCAGAATCATCAATCATCAAACATGGGTCATTCCTTGGGTGAAAAATGAATAATGAAGGGATGGACCATTGTGATGGGTATGGCATGTCCCAATAAGAGATGTTTGATTGCAAAGGTTTGCCGTTCACATTTTGTTCCTTCAGTTTTAACGCTTCAGTGGCCAGGAACCATCTAGGGGGGCCGCTTCAGGGTGTGTCTGTCCATGTTTCCTGTAAATGTTCACGCAACCAGCATCGCAGTTAAGCCTCATAGATTCAATATTCCGGTTGGTGGTTTGGAACATTTTTTATTTTCCCCAATAGTTGGGATGATGATCCAATCTGACTAATATTTTTCAGGGGGGTTGAAACCACCAATTAGATATTCAAAAAGCATGAATAGCCTCGTTTTTCGTTAATGGTGTTGAACATTTCTGGGGTTTTGATCCATATTTTGATCCACATCTTGGAAGTGACTCACCGCTGTTGGAAGGGGGAGAATGGAACGAAATGAAAGACCCTGGGGCCCTGGCAGATGCAGCAAGTTTTGTCACACTTCAGAACCAGTTGACTCCAGTTGACTCCTGTGTAAACTAGGTAATGATTCAATCCGTACATGGTGGTTTCCTAAAACGGGGAATCCCCAAAACCAGGGGGTTCAATACTAAAATAGATTAAAATAGGCTAGTGACTTGGATGATTGGGGGGTACCCCCACTTTAGGAAACCCCATATGGGTCCATGGGTCTATAGCTTTAAGATGCTTTAAGATCTTTAAGATACAGCTGACTGGTTGGTGGTTTGGAACATTTTTTTCCATTCAGTTGGGAATAATAATCCCAACTGACGAACTCATATTTTGTTCAGAGGGGTGGCTCAACCACCAACCAGCTGACTAAGGATGTATCATGCTGGCATCCTGACAAAAACAGTTAGGTGAAACCACCAGCGCTACTCCTGGCACCCTGGCACCCTGGCAACCATCGTTCTCCCCCTTGAAACATCGGTGATTCACCATCCAAAACCAGTGTTCCATAGTTTCCGCTACTCTTGTGACGGAAACAATACAGTATATATCAGTATGTAATATATAAAATGGAATATCACCATATCAATCCATATCACCTATAGTACAAAACCTATAGATGATTGTGTAAATGAATTGAGATATCCTATGAACAAATATCCCATTTACCCCTGATTTAGGCCTTGTTCGCCGGCAAGACGGTGCTGGATGTCGGCTCAGGTCGATTGGCTGTAAATTTCGCAGGACGTTCCATGAAAATTGTAGGAACTGGATGAGACTGCTATGTTGGAATCTGGTTCTAAAAAACGGTATGTAACTAACATATTCTAACATCTCATATATATATATATATTGTGTAGTGATTAGGGATAGATTTAGGGATATAACTAACATATTCTAACATCATAACTTTCTAACATATTCTAAGCCACCGGAAAGCGTTCCATTCATTTCCAAGTGGATGATGAGAACACAGGAACCCATGGTTTTCCCTATGGTTTCCCTATGGTTAAACAAAAAACAACGATATTTGAAGGTCAGCCGGAAAAAAAAAACCATGGTTTCCTTGAGATTTCACCAAAACATCTGTGGATGGAAGCCATGGTTTTCCATATCCACCATGAATGGTGACCCGCAGAATGGTGACAGTGGTGGAGATTCGCCCCAAATTTTGCTCGGGGAAACCCTATGGGTGGATTATTTCATGATAATTCATGTTGATTTGGTATTATACTACCATAGGGTGTTTTAAAACCCTATGGTGATTTGGAAACCCTATGGTGATTCACAACCCAGTTTTTTTTTTTAATACTACCATTTTTTTAATCACCATTGATAACGGTTCAATATTGGGGTTGCTTGAATACACATTGATCGTGGGCCATTGGGGACATCCCATGATCTCCCCATGTTTGAAATCCCATTATATATTATAATATATTATAATGGTTGAATTAATATCCCAATATTAATATCCCATAATGGTCATAATGGTTGAATATAATCCCATATAATATATAATATAAGATCCCAATATTATAATATCCCTTTTCAGACTCCATGATATTCCGGTTGGTTGATATTCAATACACATTTTTTTTGGGATGGTCGTACCATTCGTAGAGTTTTTGTGAAAGTTCACCAAAACTATAAACACATTTTTTTTACCCAGTGAACTGGTGTTCACTAGCCTGGTTCGTTTTTATCAAAACCGTGGATTATCCCGTATGTAAATTTGTTAACTGAATAGTACGTTTATTGTTTAAAAAAAAACAAATAAAGGACCGGATAACCCCACAAGTCAACTTCTCCCTAAAATGAGCTTCAATGGTTTTAGCGGGGACAGGGAAGCAAAGAAAGACAAAGGAGATGGTGAAAGATCGAGAAGGTAAAATGGTAGGTATGTATGTATGTATGTATGTATGTATGTATGTATGTAGGTCGGTAGGTAGGTATGTATGTATGTATGTAAGTTGTTTGTGAGTAGGTTGTTTGTGAGTAAGTTGCTCCGCTTTCTACGAGTTCCACCAGGCTGTGTTATCAAAGCGATGGTGTGCTCAGTTGACTTCTGCTGACCAAAGTAATGTTCTGCACTCTTTCGGGCGCAGCCGCAAATGTTTGCAGATTTGAAGTGACTCCATGTTTGCAGATTTGTTTTGCTTGTTTTGGAAGTTTTCAGATTTTAGAGTTTGTTCAGTGTTGGGTTTTGTTTATGTCTGTTTGCTTCTACGTTTTTGCAATTAAAGCTTCCACTAGATGAGTCTTAGTGTGTGTGTGTGTGCGCGCGCATTACTTCACCATCGACAAGCAACACCTGGCAGCACAGAAAAGGATCAAGATGACGAAAGCACAAAATAAAATAGTTCTTTGGTAGAGATCCACAGCGCAGCCTGCAGTTGTTGGCATCGACTCATTGTCGGGCCGTGAGACACGCGCCTGTCCTCCGTCCAAGAAGCTCACTGGAAGGGCACCTGCGGCAGTTGCAAAGACACAGAGGCTTCATGCGTGCTATCTTGTTACTACATGACAGCTGCAATGGCTCGGCACAGCATGAACCCGAAGAACCAATCTATTCTACATAGCTTAACCACAGTAGATATCTTATTGATCAACCGTATACATGGTCCACACTACGCCGCAAGTGCAGCTCCCGGCCTGCGCATTACTTCACCATCGACAAGCAACACCTGGCAGCACAGAAAAAGGATCAAGATGACGAAAGCACAAAATAAAATAGTTCTTTGGTAGAGATCCACAGCGCAGCCTGCAGTTGTTGGCATCGACAGCAACAGAGCGCAAAAGTACCTAGCCGCAAAAGGACAGGACGCGTATATGGAGCTAGCTATCAAAGCAACATGCGCAGAAACGATACAATTCAGTCTCTTGCACGAATTGTCTCCTTTTTGTGTGATCAAAATCCTGACAAGACCTGTAGCACTTCGTCCCGCAGTGTGGCCGACTCTAAACGTGTCACGAACAGTCTTGATTTGGCCGTCGCGACCCCAGTCTTCCCACATTAGGTCAACAATGAGTCTGGCAGCCAAGAAAACATCACGTGGCCGTCGTCATTCATGTCTTCCCACACTGAGTCAATCATGAGATGAGAGCTGACAAAAGATTCGCAGGCCGGCCCCACGCATGTCTTCCCACAGTGAGTCAACAATGCGCGCGGCTAGTGCGTCTGACGACGTCAATGTGGCCGAATACAAACTCACTTCATTGCTCTCGCCAGCCTCTCAAAGCTCTATGATACCTTGCTAGTATTTGTTCTCGCACTTCGAATGATCGTTGCTGTAACTCCGCTTCTACGTTCAGCAGATTATCCTTCAGCATAGCGATGTCAGCCAAGCTGTTGCGGCTAATTGCCCTGATCTCTTCTAACAGTGGTATCAATCGCTCCAGAAGTACGACCAACGTCTGCACTAACCTCAATGCACTTGTGGCGCGTTCTAGCTCGATGAGCTTGCCAATGAGTTGATCATTTTCTGCCTCATACATGGCATTGTCCCTGGCACTATCTCTGGCATCCATTCCAGGCAACACTATTGAGATATGTCTCGATCCCGAAATTTCTCGGTTCCAAAAACAAGGTACAGTGGTTTCCAAAGCTTCAACCAAATCAATTTCAACAATTTTCTACACAGCAATCAACGTGAGAGGCATCAAGCAACTTTCGTCTGTCTGCAACACATCATTGTTTGTGGAAGGGGCATGATCCGATGCAAAGTCACAAATTTAAAGAACCAAAACAACTGACGGTCACATTACTGCAATGTCACTGAGCATGGTTCTTTGCAAACCATTGCGCCAAACCAATGTCAAAGCATGCGCCAAGAAAACCGCGCCTGCCCTAAGGTCACAGGCCCGATGACGATACCGGAACGGAAAAGTACCTGGCTGCAAAAGGATAGCGATGTTCTGGAGCTGGTGGTCAAAGCGACAATAACAATGTCGTGCCACACACGCTTCTCTCGCCGAAGCGGAAAAGTACCTGGCCGCAAAAGGACAGAACGCGTATATGTCGCTGGTTGTCAAAGCAACACGTGCAGAATAAAAATACCGACTTAGCTACATCCCTTTTCCGACAGTTTTTTCTGCGTCTGGTCAAACAGACCAGCCACGAACGACTTGATTCTGCGTCAAAGCGATCAGATTCTGGGAAGCTTGGTCCACATTGTCTGAGAGAAGACATGTTGGACCAGGCATCCCAGCATCCGACAGTAAGATTCCTCTCTCGGAAAGTTAATGCTACGTCGTCCACGGTGTCCTGAAGGCCGCAGCATTCAACACATTCAATTGCAATCACTGGAGTCAGGGCAACTTTCCCGCAAGGACATGAAATAGTAGAGAGCGGTACTAGCGGATGCACGGCCGGAATTCCCTGCCACGGACTTTCGTCAAGCTTCTGCACAATGACCTGTAGTCCCAAAGGTCCTTTCAGATTCAAATGGTAATGCAGCCGCGAGGTAGAGTATTGGGCCGGCGCAGATACCACAGCAGCTCCTTGGATGGAGACCAGATCACCGACCTGGCATTTTTGTGCTAACTTGTCTCCGTTCTCGCCCCAAGCTTCAACGTAGAGCACTTCACTCAAGCTCTGCGTAGCAGCGAGATGCGCTTCCAACTTCCGAAGCGTTCGGGTCTCTGGCGAACTTTTTGCAGCTTTGCCGCCCTTGCCTTTTCTGCCTCCACTGGGCGCTGCCGCCGCTTGGGTTCCTTTTCTCGACTGGATCTCTTGGTGCTTGAGGATCACAATGCGCCCAGCCACGGCAGTGTTCTGGTCGCCGCGGTACTCGGACGGCTTCAAGCACGTCACTACCATGTTCGTGCTTCTGGCCGTACCCATGCGGTCCCAATGTTCTATGCAGCTTGCTTTGATTTACAACTGTGAACTCATAAATGCATTATTGAAAACATTTGGTGGTCTTTATGCTCTGGTGGATCTGGTGGCTTCTTTCCACGTTGGGCCAAAGCCACCAGAACGGCAATCGATGATTCGATATTGATCTAGAACGCTGTTTGTATAGTGTTGTATGAGCTACCAAGTGATAACCAGGTGCCACGCCTGCCACGCAAAGTGGCGCGGCGCCCCTGGCGACAAATCCGGACCAAGCACGCCACACAGCACCATGAGTGCCACGCCTGCCACGCAAAACGACGGTGGATCTGAGTTAGTCCCACGCCTGCCACGTGAAACGAAGGTGGATGTCACCAAGTGCCACGCCTGCCACGCAAAGTGGCACGGCGCCCCTGGCGACAAATCCGGACCAAGCGCGCCTCACAGCCACGCAAAACGACGGTGGATGTGAGTTAGTGCCACGCCTGCCACGTGAAACGAAGGTGAATGTCACCAAGTGCCACGCCTGCCACGCAAAGTGGCGCGGCGCCCCTGGCGACAAATCCGGACCAAGCGCGCCACACAGCACCATGAGTGCCACGCCTGCCACGCAAAACGACGGTGGATGTGAGTTAGTGCCACGCCTGCCACGTGAAACGAAGGTGAATGTCACCAAGTGCCACGCCTGCCACGCAAAGTGGCGCGGCGCCCCTGGCGACAAATCCGGACCAAGCGCGCCACACAGCACCATGAGTGCCACGCCTGCCACGCAAAACGACGGTGGATGTGAGTTAGTGCCACGCCTGCCACGTGAAACGAAGGTGGATGTCACCAAGTGCCACGCCTGCCACGCAAAGTGGCGCGGCGCCCCTGGCGACAAATCCGGACCAAGCGCGCCACACAGTACCATGAGTGCCACGCCTGCCACGCAAAACGACGGTGGATGTGAGTTAGTGCCACGCCTGCCACGTGAAACGAAGGTGAATGTCACCAAGTGCCACGCCTGCCACGCAAAGTGGCGCGGCGCCCCTGGCGACAAATCCGGACCAAGCGCGCCACACAGCACCATGAGTGCCACGCCTGCCACGCAAAACGACGGTGGATGTGAGTTTGTGCCACGCCTGCCACGTGAAACGAAGGTGGATGTCACCAAGTGCCACGCCTGCCACGCAAAGTGGCACGGCGCCCCTGGCGACAAATCCGGACCAAGCGCGCCACACAGTACCATGTAAGTTTGTGCCACGCCTGCCACGTGAAACGAAGGTGGATGTCACCAAGTGCCACGCCTGCCACGCAAAGTGGCGCGGCGCCCCTGGCGACAAATCCGGACCAAGCGCGCCACACAGTACCGTGAGTGCCACGCCTGCCACAAAACGACGGCACATGTGAGTTTGTGTGTGTGTGTGCGTGTGTTGTGTGTGTTTTGTTGTTGTGTGAAGTTATTGTCTGTTAAGTTTGTGTGTGTTAAGTTTGTGTGTGTTAAGTTTGTGTGTGTGAAGTTATTGTCTGTTAAGTTTGTGTGTGTTAAGTTTGTGTATGTTAAGTTTGTGTGTGTGAAATTATTGTCTGTTAAGTTTGTGTGTGTGAAGTTATTGTCTGTTAAGTTTGTGTGTGTTAAGTTTGTGTGTGTGAAATTATTGTATGTTAAGTTTGTGTGTGTGTGAAGTTTGTGAAGTTATTGTCTGTTAAGTTTGTGTGTGTTAAGTTTCTGTGTGTTAAGTTTGTGTGTGTGAAGTTATTGTCTGTTAAGTTTGTGTGTGTTAAGTTTGTGTATGTTAAGTTTGTGTGTGTGAAATTATTGTATGTTAAGTTTGTGTGTGTGAAGTTATTGTCTGTTAAGTTTGTGTGTGTTAAGTTTGTGTGTGTGAAATTATTGTATGTTAAGTTTGTGTGTGTTAAGTTTGTGTGTGTGAAGTTATTGTCGGTTAAGTTTGTGTGTGTTAAGTTTGTGTGTGTGAAATTATTGTATGTTAAGTTTGTGTGTGTTTTGTTACGGAGGCGGCGGGAGGAGGAGGAGGAGAAGCCCGGGATACAGAATCAAAAACAAGAACCCCACACAAAGATGTGGGGAAAAAAACTTCTCACTTTGGGATAAGCGTTGGCCATTTACCATACAATCCATATATAAGTTTATATAAATCACTTGCTTTTCACTATGGTTAGTCACAATTATAAGTTTCCCTCCCTATTCTATCCCTATTCAATGGGCTATTCTTTGAAACCCCATGAACTATAGATATATCTACCATAAGCCCAACAATCAACATAGTGTTGAAAAAGAACAAATTAGCCACCATAAATCACATCTGAACCTCCACTTTTGAGGGAACATCTTTTTACCCACACGGTGGTGTCCCGCAGTCATAAGTTGGTTTATAGACCACAGTAATGAGTTCAATATATCTATCCCACATCCCAGTGGAATTGGAGTTATTTGCCCCAACTTAGCTAACATCAATCAACAGCCGATGGCACGCGGCTGGGTGCGTGGTCCAGTCAGGGACCCGTCTGAACTTGACAACACTGGTGTGCAGCAGCTGTTCATTGCTGCACGATTTTCTGGCTGACCGGTTTGCAGACAGCATGGGCAAGGCATACTCGGCAGGGCTGGCCAGGGGGGCTCAGGCTCCAATGGAGCTGAAGAGAGTAGTCACTCATGAGATCGTTACGAACGCCCTCAGCAGCCAAGCCATGCCAAGCCCTCAACAGCAAGGCAGTCCTGCTGGGCGCGTGTTGAAACCCACTCTGGGCACAACGTATGAGTCTCAGCTGCGGCTGGAACAACGCCTTCTTTGTGCTGCCCCGGTCAACCGTTGCCTCTATAAATCCCATGAAATCCCCATGTTTGTTGGTTAAATCACCATTAGATCACCATTTTTGTTGGTGATATCCAATTTTTTGTTGATTAAACTCAATTTTCTTGGTTAAAATCACCAATTTCCCTGGTTAAACCTAAAAAATCATAATTTTTGCTGCTTATTATATCATCACTTTTCTATGGTTTTGCAACGCTTTCTCGTTGCCCCCGGACGCGGGGTAGGCACCGGCATTCTGTGCCTCTTCGCCGCTCAAGCGGGTGCAGCCAAAGTCATCGGCATCGAACGCTCCGATGTGGCGCAGAAGGTGTGGATCCCAGTGCAGGATGGTGCCCCCCAGTTATAGTTGGTTTATAAACCCCATTAATTAACTATAGTTATATCATGTTATATCTACCATAAACCATAGTGAAATTGGAGTTATTTGCACCAACTTTGCGATTCCGAACTGGGGCACCACCTTGCAAGAGAAGACCCCCAAAAAATTAAGGGAAAACGGTGGAAACACTGGGAAATGCCCTGTTAGATGTTGAATTTGTTTGTTGGCAAAATGCTGGGAACTGCCCAAAAATGTCCCCAAAAATCTTATGGAAAAACGTTTACTGATATAAATGCCCCTTTTTTCCTGGGAAAATCATGGAAGAATCTTTTTTGAAGATCTTTGGAAATCCCCGAACGATTCATGGTGGAGATTGATAGCTGGGATTTTGGACTGTGAGGATCGATTCCAATAATTTGAATATATTTGAATGTATCATGCCATCCGCTAGTATATTGTTTAACGGAAATGGCCATGAATCTGATTGTTAATCATTTGTCATTGGATGTTTAATGGATTTTGATTTAAAAAACGGATTAAGACGCATTTTAAGTGTGGGATATTTGAATTGGGCAATGAATAATGGAGATTTCAGAAGCACCGTTAACAAAAAACAGTTTTAGTGAATATGGATTTTATGTCTAAAATTTCACGGTATATTCTACACCAATATCCAGCACCAACTGTACGAACAAGTCCCTTGAATTTGGCTAATCATCGAAATGATATAGTTTAAACGCTGTTGTTAAGAAGGGAGTTATATAATGATTTCCCAGTCATGAAGGGTTGAAACGAGAGAACGGGATAATATAACATAATATGTATGTATATATAGTTATATTATAATATATATATATATAATATATATATATATACACACCCAAGAGTATGATATTTGTGTTTGACTGTTTGTCCAAAGATACCTGAACATGACTTAAGTTTCTCAGCCATTTGAGGACCATTTGAGGACCTAGAGCTTGGTGCCTCAGGCAGCGAAGATTGCGGAAGAGAATGGTTTTGGAGATGTGATTAGCTACATCCAAGGGAAGGCAGAAAGCGGGCTCAATGGCTCAATGGGGGTTCAACTGCTAAAAGTGTGTCACAAGCCATTCAAAAAAGGGGTTGCACGTGGGTCATGCAATCGGATTATAGAATATGAAAAAAAGGCTTTGTCTGACAATAGGCTATCCCCAATTCTAATGGATGACCAGTGTTTTTCCCATTAAATAGTCTTTTGGCGGGTATACCATGGTATATCAGACGCACCCAAGTGGGATTCCTACAAGATGGGGTTTTAGAGAAAGCATTGGAAAATTGTGATTTATCCAGCAAAGATGGTGATTTCATTGTATGCTGATTCATGTTGGCTAAGTTTATAACTTATACAACTAGGTTTTATAGAATAGATATGTATATCCATAGTTAATGGTTTGAAACTAAACCAACAAGCGCAACTGGGCCGGGGCCCCACCTTGCACCCCACGATTGTATCTGGTTAAACCATCCTTTCGCTTGGTGAAATCCACATGGGTTTGTCTGACCGTTTAGAGGAAAACATTCAAAAGAAACAACAGCTGATTTATCATAAATGGTCCTCCTAAAATTGCCATATATATATATATATAGGTGGAAAATAGTTTATTTTCAGACACCCAGATACTGTATCATATATTCTTGGTTATGTATATATATATATATATATGATATAATACCATGATCAATGGCCATTTCAGGTACCTAAGCTCTGAGGTACCTACCAAGGTCACAAGGTCTATGCAAGGCCTATGGGATTATCATTCCAAAATATGGCTTGACACATGGTACAGTACCTCCATTTTGAGTAGTACCTGACATGGCCATTGACGTTACCGTTGTATCCCCATGGAAAAATATGGTGATTTCCCCCGTGGAATCCCCACTGGCGCAGGTAGAGGAAGTGGAACTTCCCGTAGAAAAGGTGGACATCATCATCTCTGAATGGATGGGTTGCTGGGTCCTAAAAACGTCGTGCTAAAGATCCTTATTCTGTTCGAAAATAGCTTGGCAAAGCCTACCTCCCTCCACGGGTGAGCATGAGCGACAGAATTCCTTTCACGAAAAATAAACATATCCCATGTTTAACCAGTCCAAATAGCGATTAAACAATCTTTTCTCGTCAAAAGGTTGCGTTTTACCTTGTTTTACCCGTGAAAAATGTAGGTTTACATAGGGGAATTGGGGATTTAACCCTAACCAGTGAGGAAACAAAACATGGGCATATATAATTGATTATAACGGGATATAACAATCAAGTAAGAATATGTAAGATGATCGGATTTATGGTGCCAGGGTGTGGCTGAAAATGGATGATTTGAATCCAAGTGATTGCAATTATTATAAATGAATTAAATATCATATTACTTATTAGTTAAATGAGTCTGATGTCTTAGTGATTCTCACTTATTTTACTCATTTAAATGCAATGTAATATAGGGAAAATGCGTTTTTTTTTTTTAACACAACCAGTAGATGTAGGAGGTGTCCCTGAATTTTAGGATACTCCAATGGCTGAACTTTCGTGAAGATCCATATTGGTTGCACAAATGGTCTAATCACTGGGATTGTTCCAAGAAATTCGTAGTTACTGCCAACAACATGAGGATTTTCACATAAAATTTATAGTGAAATGAATAGCTACCATGATAGTATGGAATTTCCAATGGAATTATCAGTGCTATATGGTAGAATTATATAAATTCATATGGAATTTCCAATGATCACTGTAGCTATCATGATATCAGTGAGTTACCATCACCTCGCTGCCCAGGTTACTTTCTGATGTTCGTTGCTCGGCGCACGGGGCGCAAGGGGGGAGTGAAGGAAATGTCTGAAAAGGGGCTTTGCTCATGGGCACGCAATGGACAAAAACACCAAAGCACCTGAGTGAACGCTAGGTGTGTTGTTTTTTTTTCCACAAGTGATGAACACATCTATTATCTATCCTGTCGCGTGGTGACAAAGTGTAGGATATCCAAGGAAGCCTGCACCATCAGCAGGGCTATCATGGCTTCAGCTTCGAACTCCACTAAGACTATCCGACTTCCTCCACACGCAAGCGCGTCACTAGCCCGCAACTGATAAGTTGTTAGTGATGCTGGTTGGCAAGTGTCCTGATTGACAGTCCAATAAATATCAATGTTTTTTGCCGCCAGTATCCATTTTTTTTGACGTGACTCAAATATCTTCAACATTAGTTTCCTCCCATGTTTCATACTTACCCTCTGGTAATAAGCGGGAGGCTATGGGAGATCCACCATGTCGACCATGGGGAAACCCATGGATTTTCCACCAGCTATGTGAATTTACTGTGAGGGTAGCCCGGCCACCACCCAGGAATCGATGCTGGATTGCGTGCTGTTCGCGCGGGATAAGTGGCTGAGACCAGGAGACGGGGGAAAGCGCTGCAGATCCTGCTTGGAATGGCAAAGAGGATGGTTTGTTTAGTGGAAAATGTGCGATATTAATGGATATTACCCTCTGGTAAACTAACATAGCTATTGAAAATCACATTCTTTAATGGGTAAATCAACTATAAATGGCCATTTTCAATAGCAAACTGTTAGTTTACCAGGGGGTATATTAACGTTTTTTTCTAACCATGAAAGATGGGGATGGAATCAAGAGAAATGGAGACATTTTTCCAAAAATCATTTTGATGGACCAAACATGGGAAAAATGGCGATCTAACACCAGCAATGAATCAGTGGGTCTCCGATTTCCTCTACAAAACGGTGAGGTATGATACCTACCGACCTTTTTCAAGCGACTAAAAATTTTGTATCCTATGATTCTGAATCGGCTTCCTACATTTTTTTTTGGGAAAAAACAGCGTTTCATCGTGATTCCATCAATTGGATGCAGAAAATTGGCTGTGTTGGGCTAACCCTTGATAAATTTCCGTTGGGCTGGGCTGTAGGATAGGTGGACTCTGATATTTGTAGGATTGATGGGCCCCAGAGTTTTGTAGTATGTGTACCTGCACCAGCCCAAAGACCGAGAAAGGCAGAGAGGAAAAACATGGAAAGAGCGCTTCTGCTTCTACACAAGATTGGTGGGGCATTCGTGAATCTAATTGCTGGCAATTTGGTCAATTTTTGTAGCATAGCTACCACCCCTAGAAACGTAGAAATTCAACCACCTACGAGAATCATTTTTTAGATTCCATGTATCAGAGCGTATGGTTTGTAGCTACAAAAGGGGGCCTAGCCTACCCCCTAAATTCCAACCCCGGTAGAAACGAAGACTTTTTGAGTGAGTAATCAAACGGAGCAATCACTGGATTGTTAATTTCACCAAGAAAGTCATGTAACTTCATCAACAAACCTCTTGCTATACTGGGATTTTATTGAATGATAGTTTGGTAAAGATTGCAGCACCCGATATCCGATAGGAAAAGGGGATTCCTGCTAAACCTAAAATAGGATTGACGGTTGCTGGTTTGATGTTTGCTTTCAAGCATAGCAATGGGATGGTGATCCCCAATGACGTGGCTGCCACATGGCTGCCACATGGCTGCCACCAATTAGCTGGGCCGAAATGAATCCCTGTCCCCTACCCTTTGGTTCCACTAGCAGTTTGCGAACTTGAAAATGACCATTGAAATAGTGGATTTACCCATGATTTACCCATTAGAAATGGTTATTTTCCAGTTCGCAAACTGTGACAAATTACCAGAGGGTATTCTGAATGTCACCTGCCAAGCACCGGTTCCTTGATAACCCCCATCTCCGACCTCACCACTGGGCTAAATTCACGGCCGGAGATGGGGATGTTTCGAAAAATTGGGGAGTCCCAGTCACCATGGGTTGAAAAATAGTGAAATGGTTGACTTGGATCAGTGGGAGGTGTCCCCATTTTGGGACATTTCCGACTTTCTATGGTTCCCAACGACAACAATCGACAGTTGGTTTTCCATGACTTACTGGAGTGTAGATGATGGTGAGAATGGAAGGAACCATCCAAAGGTGGCCTACTCCCCGGTAATCAAGCATTGCTGGAACATCCCCCAGCTATATATATATATATATATATATATAATTATATAATATATATATATATTTATACTTGGGTGACTTTCTCACAACCCTCCATTTTCGATGGGGACTTCCCAGGCATATTTGATTGCCAGGGGGCATCCTGCACCTGAGGAGGGCAGATGTTTCCAGACCATGCGCGGCTTTACATGGCGGGCATCGAAGATGCGGACTACAAAGAGGAGAAGTGCTTTGACCGCATCATTTCTTCGGTTTCGGAATCCGAAACTGATGGATGACTTTTAATTGGTGACGTTGACGGTGTCTGAGATGTGTCTTGAAATCTATAGAATGAACCTCGATGTGGGACCATATTGGTGACCTCATTTGATGGTGATGGATTCATGGTGGAGGATCTTCCCAGGGTTCGTAACTGGTGAGTGTTTTTTTGGGGTTCACCCAGTTATACATCGGATAATCCAGTCTAAGTGACTTGATGCTCCGATTTTCACAGTGATTTGTCAAGAATATTTTGTCAGCATCCCAGTACATATATTATATTATATATATAAAAATATACACACACATATTTGTTGTTTCATATCCCGCATTTTCTTTGTCTTTATCATTACAACATGGGGCCCCCATAGAGTAAGATGTGTAAGTAGGTTTCGTTTCACCCATTTGCAGACGCTATCGACTCCATGGTCACACATTGTCGAGATAAATTTGAATTAGAAATTATTCATTGGTAAAATCTATGGTTGTAGAAGTTGTTCATTATTGTGAAGTTATATTCCATTATTATTATCTATACTTAAGTTATTCATGCTGAAATCCCAAGACATTTCTTTTCCACCATAGCGTTGGTGGTTACCCGGATAGACCATAGGTTTCAGACCAAATCCTTGTGGTGGCCTTGTTCGAGTCGATGGGAGGAGGGAAATCCTCAAAAAAAACTCGGTTAGGGCTTAGGAAGTTTACCCTCTGGTAAACATACAAAAACTATTGAAAATTGCCCTTTAGTTTGTTGATTTACCCGTTAAACATGGTGATTTTCCATAGCAATGTTAGTTTGCCAGAGGGTAGGCATTTTGTTTGAAATATGTTAGCATGTTTCCCTCCAAGGGTATCATATTGGAAATTGCTGTTCACATCGGATGTATACTGATCCACAATTATTCCATAATTTTCCCAGATCCATCCATGTGTCTTGGTTGAACATTGGTCACCCCAGCTTGTCATAGGCTTGGGTTCTGGCGCCACGTGCGTGGCTTCGACCTTTCTCCCGTGGCTGAGCTGGTGCGGGTCGCCTAGGAATTTTCGGTGATGGCTTTTTGGGGACACTGGAATTTGGGTATGGTTTCACCCCCACGAAACCATGGTTTAGCAGGGGATTACCACATAATGTTTCGACCATGGAATGCGGGTGTTTGACATCAGGGGGATGGGATTGGGGTACAGCCAAGCTTCAGGAAAACAAAGTGTGCAAAAAATGCCAAAAGAGATTTCCCTGGATAAAGAAGAGACCTGGTTGTTTGTTTGGAACCATGGAATTTTATGTTTCCATATATTGGGAATGTCATCATCCCAACTGACGAAGTCATATTTTTCAGAGGGGTGGCTCAACCACCAACCAGCTAGTGAATATCATTAATATTGTTAAATATTCCTATTGAAATATAGTGATATAATATCTATTGATCATGACAATCATAGATGACCTATATAATTATCATTAATGATCATAACTCTATTTCCAATCAGAGGGTGGCTCAACCACCAACCAGAGACTATTGGTCCCCTGAACATGATGGCTTTGCCGCCCTCGAACATGGAGGTTTCACAGCCCTTTGGGGGTGATGGCTTTGCCCATGAAACAGCCTGGGATGTCGCCATGGTTTCATTGGGGCTTGAAATGGCAATGTTGGATAGATTTGGACCCTGGAATTTGGGTATGACATTCCTGTAGCAAGAATTGCTGTAGATGATTTAGATGTTTTGATTTTATTATTTCTTGGAGTTCATGACAATGTTGGATAAATTTGGACCCTAGAATTTGCGCATGACATTACTATACCAAGAAATGCTGAATATATCATTATATCTGAAGATGGTTATATTTTTGAAATATATCGTTTATTTGAACTCTCTGCATCAACCATGTTTGGGAATCTACAGTATTGTTGCAGCTATGTTTTGTTTCTTTTACTCTGGGACAATCACAAACAATTTCAAGACATGTACTGACAATTATTTTGATGATAGTTACAGTAGTAATGAAAAGATGTCGCTGCTGACGCCGCCATCGCTGATGATGATGATGAAGAAGAAGAAGAAACAGACACAAGTATAGAGCCTAGTACATGTTGTTGTTTTCATTGTTGGTATTGAAGTTGGGCGCACTATGGATATCTTTTCAAAGAACATGGATAGGTCTCAGATATGTGTGAAGTGGAATCCAGGAATTCCATGGCTTATCATCATGTCTAAAACTATATATCTGCTTGGTGGTGACTGGAACCATGGAATTTTCCTGGTTAATCTATGGTTAATCTATGGTTAATCTATGATTAATCTATGGTTAATAATGGTTAATAATGGTTAATCATTGGAATAACAATATATCTGGTTGGTGGTTTGGAATATGATTTTCATTTTTCCACATATCTGGAACCTAATAATCCCAACTGACGAAGTCATATTTGTCAGAGGGTTGGCTCAACCGCCAACCAGATATGTATGTACATGACATGTTATACATATATGTTACCATGAATGTAAATACACACCATGGTCACCCTAAAATCAGAGACTGGCTTTTCTCGGTGCTCCAAAAACCGGGGATCGACCATCATTGGCCATCATGGAAATTGGCTAAGCCTGCTACACTCCAGTTTCGGACGAGCAAAAAGTGGTTTAGAAATGTTTAGAACATGTTCCTCTTACCCTCTGGTAATTGAACATAGCTATGGAAAATGGACCATTTACAGATGATTTTCCCAATAAAACCTCCATTTATAATGGATTTTCCAGTTGGCTATGTTAGTCATTACCAGAGGATAGGTAATCCACAAAAAGGTAAAATCTAACCACTGGGAGACATTTTTAAACGGCCATTTTTTAATAAACACTTCGGATGAACAGCATGAAAATTGATGAATATGGTGAAACACCACAGATTCTAGGGAAGCACATATTTAACTATATCATTTTGATTTGAATTTGCATATGTCCCTATAGTTTCATTTTTTTAAGTCGTGTATAATTATATATTATATATACAAAGTCGTGTATAATTATATATTATATATACATATTTCAATATGCATACATATATATATATATATGCACACATCTTCAAAATGCCACGTCAAGCATATCAAGACACTTTTGATGTCACTACTGCCAGGCGATTGGGGAACCCTTGTCGGACATCGTGGACGCTGCCACCATGGTCACTGAGAGCCAATGCGTCGGGAGCACAGGGGGTGGTTGTTTTCTATTTTGGATGTGTCTGAGTGTCAGTCCGCAAGGGTTGATCCTGAAGATGGTGTCGCTGAATGAAGAAAAATTGATATGTCTGAAGATGGTGACATTTCTATTCTGTTTTTTTGTTTGGAGGGGGTTTTGTTTTTGTGTCTAAGACACGCGCAAGTGGCTGGGTAATCATGTCTGCCTGCATCCCCAAGAGCTGTCACAAACAGACGCACAGACAGGGGCGTCCTGAACACTGGCACCATAAATTTTGATTTGGATATCCCATGAAATCCAATTTTTCTTGGTTAAATCACTGGGACAATGGCTATAAATCCAAAAATCCAATGAATTCCAATTTTTTCTTGGTCAAATCATTCGGACAAAAGCTCTAAATCCATCTAAAACCCATATGTGTCTTGCTCAGACCATCATTTTAGTTGGTGATTCTGGTTGGTGGTTTGGAACCTTTTTTTATTTTTCCATCCAGTTGGGAATGTCATCATCCCAACTGACGAATTCATATTTTTCAGAGGGGTGGCTCAACCACCAACCAGCCATTATATTATAGATCATTCTCACTATATTGTAGATCATTCATCTATAATGGTATTATCACATCATATCTATTAAAATTTCTATCTGGCTGGTGGTTTGGAACATTTGTTATTTTCCCCAATAGTTGGGATGATGATCCAATCTGACTTTCATATTTTTCAGGGGGGTAGCTCAACCACCAACCAGATATTGTTGCTGCTTAAATTTCACCATTTTCCCATGGTTAACTCCATGGTTAATCCTTTCATTTTGGGATCTATTACCCATAGGATCCATGTATGCTATATATGGTAACATGGATCCCATCAATATACCCCCTTTATGTTAGCATATATACCATACATGGATCCTATGGGTTATGGAAGAACCACCATTTTCCCGTGGTTTTTAGAGCCGCCGCGGTAGATCCTTCAGATGGACCTGCGAGAGGTCACCTGCCCGGAGTCCCAGCATTCAGAATGTGATTTTCCCATGGAAAATTTCAGCAGGACCTACCAGGACAACACAACAATGGAAACCATCGAAAAATGGTGATTTAACCATAGAAAAATGGTGATTTCGTGGTATTCATAGCTGATATAGCTGATTTATGATAGCTATAAGTTGGTTTATAACTCCAATTTCACTAGGGTTTATGGTAGATATAAGTACTGTAACTAACTAGTTAATGGGGTTTATAAACCAACTTATAACTGGGGGGCACCATCCTGTATGGAAAAACCCTGAAATGTTCATGAAAAATAAGAGAACTGTTGGAATATCCATAAAATATTTAGGAATAGGAATGTGCCCTAAAACCCGAGAAAGCATTGAGGATATGCGATGAAATGATGAAATAGCAAAAAACTATTTGGAAATCATTTTAAACATGATTTAACCAATGGAACAGACTCGGATAAGAGAAAGTGTACTTGTTTTTTACAACAATATATATGTGGGTAAATAAAGTCAAGAACGTATTGGGAATACAATTGGGAATTCGGGGATGCATCCAAGTGAGATTTACGCCTACATCGTTACAACATGTTACCATAAGCCATGTTAGGATACAAAGCTATAGATCGGTTTTTAACGGACTATCATGGGAATACAATCGAAGACGGCAAAGGAGGTTTTCCATGGTTTTCAACCAATACTATATCTATAGAAGATACTAGGAGTAGATGCAGTGCTGTAGCCGAAGAACATTATGGGAATATAGTCGAAGGAACATCTACGGGCTTATCATCTTGTGCAAAATTCATCAAGCAATCAAGCACTGCGAAAAATGATCAAGAAAGGTGTGAACATGTTTAACCATGACAGTTCCAAAGCAAACGAATAATAGAATCTAAGGAGCGCAATGGGACTATACTGGGAATATGTAACTAGCCTTCAGATGCCTTCATGAAATTGACATAGATATGGACAAGCCATTGGTTTGGATATGGACAGTCATTCATTTACCATGGTCGGTTTTCTATATGTAACTCAATTTCGGCCTTCGTTTCTAAGACAATTCGACTTCTTACTTACACATGCGGGTTTGTTTGAACACAGGGAAATGACCCTGAATCCGTGATTTACAGAATCGTCTCCTCCATAAAAAGCTGGGTATATTTTGGGGAGAAACCCAGAGTCTTCGACAATCCCCAAGCAACATAATGTCATCAGATTTCAGCAGCAAATCTCGCTAGGCCCTGCAAGAGGCAGACGGAAGAAGCGTTATTGTGAGATATTGTGAGCTATATTGGTTTGAAACATTTGCAACAGACAGCAGGTAACATTCAATAGTATATGTCCACATAATTATCCCTTCGACAGCAATAAACATCATAAACCTGAACATTTTTTTTACTTGAAATGAAGGCTTTGATGGTACGTGCAGCTATAGCAGCATCACTCACATCTGGAAAAACAAATATCGCGGCCGCACTGGGAGACGTCATCCTACATGGTGCGAAGCAGGCAAAACATCCTTGGGCCCAATTTAAATGCAGACTGGAGATCGCGATTGGCAGATTGAGCCGTTTATTTCTTCAGGTTCACCCAATATAGGGGTTTCTGTTCAGTAACCCAAATTTGTTTTAATCAGTCGTGGGTGTAGAGGTCTATACTCTATACCAGGGTTCCCTTTTGTTGCCAAAAGGATCCAAAGGGCAGATTCAAGCTGGACATGTGCATGGAAGCTGGTTAGCAGGACAGGGGTGGATAAAAACCTCAGCTATAACTTTGGCATGATGTTCTGGGAGCCATATCTAATGCCTTCAAGATTCATTAGTTACTGAATGGGTGTTATTTCAAGTTGGAGTACAGCCAAAGGCAGCCGTAAGATACAAATGTTGGATGAATTTTTACTTTCATTTTAAGACCACCAAATGATCAAATGGGTATTACTGCGGTTCAAGGAATACGGCAGTTTCACGGCATGATGTTCCAGAAAACCTTCCACCAACTAGCTGCCATCATTAGCCACTGGAGTCGCTTGGGTATTCGAATCTAGACTACGTGGGGTATAGAATAGGTAGCAAAATCTAGTCGACCGGTCAAAAACAATCACCAAAAGTTGAACAATCTCAAGGCATGACAAGAAATGCCAAACGAGCCAAGCAAGTCAACAAAACGCAAGCAAGGCCGAACAAAAATCATACATTGTCAAAATTATGCTGAACTTCAACCTATTAATCTACCACCCGCTGATCTACAACTCGAATTTGGTCTGCATGCTCAACTTGCTCATTGCTGATTGTCTCGAGTTCAAGGTGAATGAGACATTTGCCCAGCAACGGTTCCTCATGTGGAAATAGAAAAGGCATTTGGATTTTGATGACAATTTCATGGCTTATGTCAATTGGGGTTTTTGACAGCATAGGCTGTCGCTTGGAACTTTCTATCCCACCCATTGCAAAATCTGATGGAAAAATGACGCCATAGCTATTACTTGCCTGCGCCCATCTGCAGTCCCTTCATTGGGGCTGCAGGGATCCAGCCCCGCACAGAATTGCCACAAGGATGGAAAACCCCGCGTGTTATTGTAATATTGTAGTTGGGTCTTTCAGCTGGAAGCGGCGGAGAGAAAACATACATGATTTGTCATATGTCTGTGGCTGGTCAGGCGGCAAACTGTTAGGGTCGAGTTTTTTCCGAGCCATTGGGGGCCTTCCCACAGGGATTTAGAAATGTGGATTTCTCAGGCGCAGAACTGGATTTCTCAGCGTGCGGCACACAGTGGGCAAGGGGTTTTCTGAAATTTGGGCTGGCGCCTGAAACTACCATTGTGTTCGCGTTGGATTGGAAAAAAGAAAGTCACACTGACAATGTTGTTTAGCTGATGTTGCCAGTGATCCAATGCTATCCAATGTTTGGTTCTCCGTCGCAGGTACAGGAACTTCAGGAAACAAATTATACATATATATATATGTATATGAAACCTGGCTGGTTTACTTGTTGGTTTGCGTCATGCTGGGTGAGGGGCTGCACCATCATTGAAATATTTTTTCTGGTCAAACTTGTTGTGTCCGGTTCCAATATGCTTTGCCACCGCAACTCCTTGGTAGAATTTGATCCGGATTAATCCTGTGTTTTTCAGATGGGTTGGGCGTCAAGCGTTTGATCAGCGAACGATGTGGATTGATGTCAGACAGGTTTCTGACGACAGGAAACTGAACGTTGGAGAATGGTTTGGTGACGAAACCATGGAAATAAACAGCGCAAGGGTACAAACATCCGTTTTGCTTGGAACTGCCCACGTAACCTTTTTTGCCGGCTTTTTTTCTGCATGTGACTTGAGCAAGATGCACTTCTGGTTATAGATACCTATTTTTTTGGTTGGTTCTGTATTCCAATGTACACCCTGAACTTCTCAGATCTCGTTCAACTGGCACCTTTGCAAAGTGCTCGTTTCCCAAGGCCTTTTCACAAAGTACTTCCGAAACTGGTTGATTGATCATGCCTCCATGCCCTGTGCATCATTAGATGGCTCACGTGCGAAAGGCTCAAAATGCTCATTGATCACCTGATCACCTGGAAAATATTTTAAAATTGATCACCAAAATGAAAGCATGCATCCATGATCACTCTTTTTTGGGGAGCATCAGCGATTGATTTCACTCTTTAATGAGAATCTGATGGTGTCAACAAAAAACGTGATAAGTGCGTTAAAAACCCGTGATTTTGGCATGAAAGTGAGTGAAAAAAACATGGTTTTATGGTCACTTCCAAGCGCGTGAAAATTCAAAGATTTCCTCATGCAACTGGCAGCCAGTCCACTCATAGTTGTCTAGTGCCGCACCCCTTTACGGTAATAGAAAATGTAGTTGAAGAGTCCCTCGCATAAAGTCCTCTGCTGAAGCGGAACATGAGAGTGAGGTGGTTTGGTTTAAAGTCAAGATGGCACTTTACAGTAACGCAGGCACTTTGTTCGAAAGTACTCGTGTCCCAAGCACTTTGGGAGGTCAGGGTATAATTTAATTTCACCGCCAAAAACGCAATGGCTCCATCGGTGTTTTTATAGGTGGATATATGTGAATTTAGTTTTCAATTTTGACATTTGCATGTTATCTATGTGTATATGACATGTACGTTTCCTTTTGGAACCCAACATGAAAAAAACCCAACATGTCAGGTGAGGGTAGTTAGATTTTATGTCAGCTGGCCTCCTTCTCCTTCTCCTTCTCCTTCCCCTCCCTGGGCCTCAACTGCAAGCTCGTGATCGCAGTGGTCCCCGCCGGACCCGAACAGGAAGCCCTGGATCAGAGTGGTCCCTGCCAAACCTCAACTGCAAGCTCCGGATCAGAATGTTCCCCCCGGACCTCAACCACACAGAATCTCCGAAGATATACCAGAGATAATTAGAACGCCAGCAAGAATGCCAGAATATATGCCAGAAAATATGCCAGAATAGATGCCAGATAGAATGTCAGAAAGAATGTCAGAATATATGCTATAAAGTATGTCAGAGTAGATGCCAGATAGTATGTGAGATAGAATGTCAGAATAAATATGCCACACACACACACACACTTCCAGATGGTATGTCAGAAACTATATCAGACTAGTGTTTCAAGGCGGGGATCACTCGAAGAAATTATGTTATTTTCCTTTTGGAACCAAACATTTCCTGAGAAGGTACGGCTAGTCCCTTGTCAAAAAAAGCCTTCCCAACAAAGTATGGCTGGACCCATACGGCCTTTTCATTGGGCACCCATGGTCGGGTTTTCCCCTCATCGTCGATGTTTTGCCTGGAGACACTCTGAGGCCTTTTGCGTTGAAAGTCCTGCGTCAAGACTTCGTGCATGCGTTGGTCAGCCGGGAACTGCCACGGGGAGGTCATGTAGCCACAAGGTGGTGTCCCATGCAGCATGTTTTGTGGTGGATGTATTTGTAGTATTCTGTATAGTTATAGTTGGGGTTTTGAAACCTATTTATTACTGGGGGCACCACCTGGCAAACCATTTCGGTTTCTTGTGTTTACACATTTACGGGAAAAAAGGACACAGCTGAAGTTGGGTTTGCCACATTTATAGCCCTTGTATGACCCTGTGTATTTGCACTAGCGGTCACAATAATTTTAGATTGTGAGTGGCGGATATAATGTTTTTTCACATTGTCACAAGTTGCGCTTGGCTAAACATGTGAACATTGCGACTTTTTTTTTTCGTTAGTATTTGCCTATGCATTCATGATATTTCCATAAATAGGATAATATATATATATATAGATATGTCATTTTTTCGCAGATCTCCAACGATTGCTAAGTACACTACTTCATTGATTTAGTTTAGTTAGGGGGAACCCATTAGTAGAACTGAGTTATGTTGGTTGATAGATCCCGATTGTACCAGCTAGGATGATCCAAAAAAGTGATGAAAGTGTCAATGATGGTGTATACCCTCTGGTAAACTAACACAGCTATTGAAAATTGCCATTTATAGTTGATTTACCCAACTATAAAATGGTGATTTTCCATATATAGTTATGTTAGTTCACAGGGTATCCGGTTGACACGTCGCTTGTTTTAAGATTTACCTTAACATATCTTAACTAACTTAACGCTTCCGCAAACAAGGTTTGTATGTCAAACAAGGTTCATTTGGCTCATAGCCTCCAGCAACAAAATCGACCGCCACTTGCCTTTGGTGATACTGTTCTTGCGACGTGAGAATTTGCTGATGGCGACAATGACTCAAACTGTGGCAGTTGAAACTGAGAGAAGCTGGGGCAACGGTTCTTCATGTGGTCACTTGACTTCTTTGCCACTTGAAAATCCCAAAAAAATGGCAGTTCAGACCCTTGTCTGATTCGTTTTGGTAAATTATTGCGACGTCTCTGGTTGACCTCTCCATGATGCCGGACAAGAATTTTGATTAGGCCAATTTTCGATTTGGAAGTCTGTCCACCTTACCCAGAATCATGTTCCCAAACATCGATAACCTCTTCAAAACTGAATTTTCTGGTTGATTTGCGCTGGCGGATCTGTTCATTTTGGGCCCCCAAGCTTGGCCACGAATAGTCACGGGTTAATATCCATATAACAATGTCAGGAAGCGTCCCAGGGAAATGAAACCACGATTTCGCAATTATATGATTTTTTCTTCGGTGGGGGGAGCTGTATATTCACTTCTCTGTTGGTCCAAAAAACTCAATTAGTTGCCTGCTACTAAGTTCCCCGGAACTTTTCCTGCTACTCAATTAGTCTACGGGGGACTTTCCTGCTATAAAATAAATCTACAGGAGCCTTGCTTAGTACCCAATTAATCTACGGGAGTTCCTGCTACTAAATTTGTCCAGGGGTGGTTGTCCTGCAGCTAAATTAGTTTCCGGGACTATTCCAGCTACTCCATCAGTCTACGGGAACTTTTGCTGCGCTTACCTTAGGTTCCAGTGCTACTTCCTCCAGCGTCAGTGAGAAGAAACCTTTGTCAGATCAGGACGTGTTGAAAAACGAAACGCGACAAAGGTCAAATTGATGGGGAAAAACAATGGGAATGGGTGACACTTTAAGGCCCGGACAACAGATTGGTATGTCGATTTTTTGTATTAACCATCCAATCTTAGGGCTATCTAAGTTTGACCCAGACCCATGTGTTCAACACCAACTCAGTTTTGGGAACATGATGATCAACAGTTGAATCAGTCATCCAATTTGGGGCTCCTGACTATTTGGTGGTTCGGGGTATCTTGGTTGTGCTAATCCCTTTGATTTTAAAGATATGTCAAATGATTGGGACCAGTAAAATAGCTGTGGTATCGTTACCCAATTATGTACTTGCACTATGGGAAACTCACTGGCAAAGGCCAATAGAGCGACAAAATTAGGTCTGCAATTTGAGGTTTTTTTAACAGGGTCAAGCCTTGGTTGTGTAACATTTATGTAGACTTCCCCATGAGTTAAGATATAACCGCTATAATCACGTTCTTTTGAAAAGCTAGTTCGATTGAACTGAAACACCAAGAAGCTAAAATGTGTGGTGAGGTCCCCCCACAGGCATTAGAGATAGTCAACTGATAGTTAACCAACTTATCGAGGCAGATAACAATAGATGTACCATGCACAACCTGAAAGACACCACGACTCCACGACGCCTTTTTCAGTTGACCTGGGAAAACATCATCGATGCGCCAGGAACGGATGCCTCCAACGGCCTCCCTGCTGTTGATCCACTACTTCCTGGTTTTGGCCACGGTAAATCTGGTGATCACCATCCCCACGGCCAATGAATATTCGGAGCGCTTGGGGGCTGGGCGCTTGCTACTTGGAATTCCGGGGGGTGGTAGGAGGGAGAAAATTTTGTGGGAAGGGCAGTGTGGGTTCGATTTGTTTAACCGATGTTGACTCAGTTGCTGAAATTAGATGAGAAAAGGTCTTAAATTTCAGAAGCTGATGAATGAACCTAGCTGTTGGGTCCACTAAGTGGGGGTATCATATATATATAATATAATATACATAGATGCATAGACACATAGTTACATACATACATACATGCATACATACATACATGCACGCATGCATACATTCATACATTCATACATTCATTCATTCATACATTCATACATTCATGCATACATACATGCATCCATGCATCCATACGTACGTACCTACGTGCATACATACATGCATACATACAGACACATACATACATACATACATACATACGTACGTACGTACGTACGTACGTACATGCATGTGCATGCATGCCTCCATCCATACAGACAGACAGGCGGACAGACAGACGGACGGACGGACAGACAGACAGACAGAGATGCATAGATGCATAGATGCAAAGATGCATAGATACATAGATACATAGGTAGATAGATAGATAGATCGATAGATAGATAGATAGATGGATAGATGGATGGATGCATAACAATAAAATATAAAGAACAATATTTAGTATTTAAATATATTTAATATATATACATTTTTCACAATTTTACACATATATGCATAAACCGGTGGCGACTGTGGTTTCCAACGAATTACTCAGCGGACTAATTATCCAACGTGAAAAGTAGGGCCACGGTATCAGTTTGTCCAGAAGGGAGGGTGGGGTGGGGAGTGGGGCATATCGAGTGTTTCATTATGTTGTCCCTTACTGTAGTAGCATCGCTAGTTTGTGGTAATCCCTATGGGTAAAACGAAATTGGTTAGGAAAAAAAAGACGTTAAAACGTCATTTGCTTTATTGAACATGAATCCAATCAAAGGATCTTAACAATATGTTTATGTTTTTGATAAAATATTTCACATGGGATACGTATTTGTTTTAGGGGTTGGAACCCCTCATTCAAACATACATTTGATACTAGGGAGGGATCATCTATGATCCTACGTGGGTTGCGAAATCCTGCGCCACCAAAAGGATGCTTGAAACTCTATAAATAATGGGATGTTTACCACCTATTAATCTCTTAACTGGTGCAGGATTTCGCAACCAACAACAGTCAACAGTATGTTTTTGACAATTCCCATTATGTTGCCGGTCACTACGAATGTCGTGTTTTATGGTTGCTTCACGCCGTCACGGCCTCGAACTTTTGAGGTTTGCTGGACTTATGATTGGTTGCTTGCCTATCCTGGGCATTGCCGGCAATTTGGTGAATCAGAAACTCTTTTCCTGTGGCTCGGTGTGTGATTGGCACTGCTTGATTTTTGGGTTTGTCGGAAAAAAAATCTGAAAACAGGGTATACCTCAAACATCTATGGTTTATGTTTAAAATTGCCATTGGAGGGAACACAATCTGAGACAAACTTGCCTGCAAAAGTGACTGATTGTTTCATCACTGGGGTATAAATTTGAACATACCTTGACATTACCCCGTGCCCCGCCTGACATGTTTACCATGGCATGGGGCATCATGGGGCCACTTCCCACTTCGCCTCCCGAAGACTTTTGGAGATGGGTATGCCATGGTATGCCCTTTGTTTGATCTATCCATATCTATCGAAGAACAGGCACATTAGAGTCAACATGGAGGACTGATAAGTGAAGGGATCCACGACCAGACAGTTATTTATTGCTGTGAGGACAGGGAAAAAATGGCCACAGCTGGTTCATTAGAGTTCATGAGTGGCTTCAATCATTGCTATATGCCTGGTTGGTTTAGAGTTGTTTGGACTTGTTATATGACTTCTTTATCCGTTCATTTTTGGGGTCCTGTATACTGGGGCAGAATTTTTTGTGTTTGGGGGGGAATGGGATTATTATAGCAATGAATGATGAATGGCGATTATCCCAGTATATCCCCATATATCATCATATCCCCTATTAACCCCCCGGTTAAATCCAACTAACATTACTGGCACAGCTTCTGCAAGGTTTGCCCTTGAAGACCATTTGGATTTTGAATTGCTTGGGAACAGTGCTGGGTTGCGTGCTCTACGCTTTGGCGGGTCTGTGCCCTGGCACAATGGTCCCTCCCTCCATGCTCCTGTTGTTTCCTGGAAAAGGAACATGTTCTACAAAGAAATGGTAAGGGTTCCATATCTATGTACTAAATTACTGGAGGGTAACAGCAACCTATAGTTTTCTATTTGTGTGTTTTGACATATTCAACGATCATTTTGAGGGCCAAGGTATTATCAAGCTTAGAACTTAGAACCTCATGTGTCCAATATGACTATAGACTTTGTGGGTTTCTTTGAACATGGGATATACGGTATACCGGTAAAGCCCCCAATTATGACCGTGTGGTGGGGACATATGATGATAACCATAGGATTTGTTGTTTGTGGGGTATCCTATTTTGAGAGACACCCATACGGATCTTTATGCGTTGTGTTACGTCAGCATCAAGAGATGCCTGTTTTGGGATTTGCACTGCCTAATCCAGATGTTTGCAAGACCTCACGTTGCGTAGCACTGTCTACGCTTCCACATATTTTATGGGTAGAGTAGAGTGCGAATGGAGAGATTTGCATATACTCCTGACTCCTGAATACCTGTTTCCTGCTGGCGCCACTTTGTGCAATCCGTTGCAGGATGAAATTCAAATGGACACTATTGATCGCAAGAGGTAGCTTGATTGAATGCTGGCAGATGGTTGGGGCAACCCTCAGTTGATGGCCATCAAATATTGGTGAATTTGACTTTCTAAACCATATACTCTTTGGTTATTTAATGTAGTTTTGTACAAAATAGCCATTTGTTTCTCAGGTAAACCATCATAAGTAATCATAAGTCAGCGGCAATGTGAGTTTTCCATAAGTTCAATAACCACAGGTTGTAGGTTTGGTGTTTTTTTGCCCTATGGACAGCAGAGAAATCCGGGCAGTTCCCATGGTCACTGGAAGACGGTGGCCCGGAGATTTAATGCCAAGTAGCACCAAGCGTGTATGGGACATGTAGCACTAGGGTTGGCTTAGAGTCTTAGAGTTTGGATTAAAAAAAGCATTAAACAAACAACTTAGAGGTACTAGTTACTAGGGGTTAGTTTGTCTTAGAGCCTTAGAGCATTAGAGTCTTAGAGTATAGAGGGTTCAATCAACCGGTACTTGGCAGATATGAGAATGTTCACACGATGCAAAAAGCCTATCAGACTCTCCAACACTTGTATATTCAACTGGCGTTTTAATGGTAATGCACTTCTTTTTATACGATTATGAGCCCATTGGGCGCAGGTATATGTATGATATTTTTTTAATGTATATATATATATATATACACATACACATGTGTAATAGAACCCAATCAACATCAATCATCGATAAGTTTTCACCATTAGCAGCACATTGATCCAAATGTTCCAAGCATATCCAAGATTCACCATATCAGTGTTGCTTAATACCATCAATATATACCCCTAGGCCCATTTCCGAAATTGGTTGAGCAATGTTCAAAACAAGCTTGCTTGATGAGTGTAGAGGTTTTTACCTACCCAACATTACGAAGCTGGGAATTCCTGTTGACCCGCCAGTATATGACCGAGGAAAATTGAACAGCTCACTGTTTCATCATAAATCCGACTTCACAGATGATGACATATCCACTACAAATCCAACTGCAAGCCTAGTCCTGTCTACCAACTTAGGCTTAAAATCATCACAAACTCGATCCTATCAGATCCCATATCCATCCATATCCCATATCTCCATGATATCCCCATCATATCACCATGATATCCCCATGGTCATTCCATATCCCATATCCCATATCCCCATCATCAAATGGACGACATCATAGACCCCTCCATCTCGCTCCACGGCACCGTCGGCCGGTCGGACCGTCGGAGATCGAGGCCTCATGGGCTTTTGTAGCGCCTTCAGCCTGCCGGGGATCTACGTCTCGCACACCGTGGGCCTCAAAAGGTGTGGGAAATTCCATGGTGGTCCCATGGGGAATCACGGTGATGTCACAAGAATGTTAATCCCGATGTGATGACATAGCAATTCCCATGACGGATCCATGGTGCTGCCATATATGGTAACATGGATCCCATCAAAATACCCCCAATGTTAGCATATATACCATACATGGATCCTATGGGATTGTTAAATTGTTGTGTCAAATCCTCTAGCCGCCGGCATCACCCAATCACCTGTCGCACACCCAAAATCACTCGCCATGCCGCTGGCAGAAATGACCAATTGCAGCGAACCTGCCATCTCACGTGGCAAAGATGGAGTGGTTGCAATGAATTCTTCATGTGCCACTGTTGCCTACATTGCTGGGACACATGAAGTCCCGACTTCATCGATGACTCCTTTGCCACCTCCTTCTTTTGATCCAGATCGTCCAGGAGATTCCTCAACGTGGGGCCATGGGCAAAAAACGTTCATCTCGACGCTGGAGCTGAGAGATTTCCACATCTACATGCCAACGATCCATTTTGCACACCTTTTTTGGAAGAACAATGTTTCTCCCTACTGAAATCTACTGAAATGGTTCGCCCCCTAATTAAACAGCCTAGGGGGTCATTACTCCATGAGTCACATAGTGAGTGACATCAACTAGGATTTATGGTGGATACATTTGGATACTGGATATCTACAGTCAATAATCCAACGTAAAAGTGGGGAGGAGAGACCACATCGTAGCTTCTTTGATTTGTGTTTGCCCAACATTTGCTTGGAGAATGCAAACACAAACATGTAATGATGTAAAGCCAAAAAAACACCATGAAAATCACAATTTTTGATGTACACCATTGTTAGGCAAACCCATGTTTAAACAGTTCTTATGTTCTAGCTACAAAGGTGCGGACATCTGTCCCATTTGAACACAAATTACTGTATATGTTCCCTGTGTGGAATATACAATCTTAAGCTCTTAAGCAGTCTTAGGCCGTGTTTGTTGGTGAATGCTTGGTGTTTTCAGAGCTTGGAAATGCCGGTGTAGCTTGCACCAAGTACAATTTGTCCGTTTTGACGACCCACCAGCAAGCCAACATCTTTGGCAGATAATCACCATGTTAATTTTGCTCAACCCAAGTCCAGCTTGCAAGCTGGCCAACCATATTTGTTTGGTGAACTAACAAGTGAAAGGCCCACTCTGGCATCAAGTGTGAGTACATGCTGAATATCATGTTTGGCTCCTAGCCCTATGTGTTTATTTCCAGTGCTGAAAACATGTGACTCCAGTCTTGCTGATTTCTGATGGTTTCTGGTAGTTACTAGCCTAGGATATATCAAGGATATACCGATATACCTAGGAGATGTCTAGGATTGATGAGTTAGTTTAGGCAGGCATGTCATCACCCCAACTCGGGATCCACGGAGCCGCCGATATCACATGATATCACCAGGCGTAGCGAGATCTTGTTCTACTTCTCTGCTGTGCTAACCTTGGGATGCTTGGAGATCTGATCGAGGCCTCAGTTGATGGAAGTGCTTCGTTAAAACATTCAGAAATCACCAAGAAAGATACTCCAACCAAGAAACAATTGTTTATTGAAGGGGATAGAACAATATAGAACCATGGACAATTGGGATGTGATTGAATTTTCAAACAATGTGGCATGCCGCGGGCTATGGCCTGGGGGAAAAAAAAACAGGGGCGGCATCATCACCGGAGGATCTCAAAAGGTTGATGAATGTCAAACAGTTTGCTATTGAAAATGGTGATTTATAGTGGATTTACCCATTAACAATGGCGATTTTCCATAGTTTTTTAGTTTACCAGAGGGTATATATATATAAATGATACTAATATATATATATATGATAATATAATATAATATAATGTAAATATATATATATATATTATAATATATAGTCACTATATACCTCATTATTTAGTCACATGATCAATCAGTATTATATATATATAATATGTAATATATATATATATATCAATCACACTATATATATATATATATATTGCACTATTTGTCATGTGATTGAGAATGATATTTCTAGTGACTCCCTTAAAAAGATGCAAATGCCGTGGTGTTTCCAGGATGATATATAGATGCCAAGGATGTGCCGTGGGGCCCGCTTTGGCCGCTATGCTGGAGGCATTCATGAAGCAACTGGCATGAAGCAAGGGGCCGGTGGGGCCTTCCCAAATGAGACCAAGAAATGTGGTGTTTTTAATGTGCTCAACCAAGAAAATAGAGGGTTTTCAACAAAGGAACATGACATGTACGCTAAGTGCTGAGGATTTTTGCGGGTAAGAAACATGGCAACATGACCCTGATTTGGAGGAAAAAAATGGCCCCCGCTCCCATGTTTTGCTCAGATTTTCAAGAGCCCCTGAAAATACACAGCTTGTATCATCGGTTGGTGATTTGGAACCATGGAATTTTATGACTTTCCCATCATATTGGGAATGTCATCATCCCAATTGACTTTCATATTTTTTCAGAGGGGTAGCTATACCACCAACCAGATTATCATCATTATCAACCATATATTAACAGTATAACCATATATTAACAGTATATTACCAACCTTTGCTGGTCATTTGCTGGTCATTTGCCCTTTGCTTCGTAGATCTTCATAGTACTTGTTGAGTGGGTTCATCCCCGAGATCAGCTGGTGATTGTGCAATGTGAGGGATTGAACCATCAAACGTGCTGGAACATTGATTTAACTGCCACATATGGGGACGAGCAATTGATTTATTTGATTTATGATAGATCTTCATGACTTGACCAACGGTGGTATATATACATATATACATACATATACTATACTTACCTATGGGTTTATTCAACAACTTGTCCATCATAAAACGGATCCCCATTGTTTTTTTCCAGACGTCGTTGTCCAGTCCGAGGTTCATCCGAATCGAGAATTTGGTCTTGGACTCGGACACTATCCCTGGATGGTTTATGGCGGTGTTGTATCTCTTGTTCACGGTGGCGTCCCCGGGATGGTGGATGTCGGGTAACCGGAAACCCCATTCTGGCTGGTTCATGTATTTTTTTACTGGATACTAGGGGTGTACCCAGTTGATGAGTGGAGTTGTTCATAGGTTTAATGTAATTTGAGGAAGCGTCAAGCGGCGCTTGACTTATCACGGATGGTTGCATCTACTTCCCACCACCGCTCGCATCCGTGCGCCCCCAAGGAATTAATCTCATATATTGTACATACGTGGCAACATCGGGGAAACCGGAAACTGGAGTAGCAGATGCTAAAGATTTCCAAAAATCAGAAAGTTAGGCAGGGTTGCTGTAGCTGATTATAGGTGTAAATGATGGCTACTCTTGGAAGTAAATTGGCAAATTTACCATATTTGACCTCTATATTTACCAAGTCCAATCTGGGGCCAGGGAGTAACCCTGTGAATCGACATGTTGGGAGTTGCTGATACATATGTATTTTCAACATCTGTGAAACATCTGAAACATAAAGGGAAAATCTTAAGTGCAAACCATGGATGTTCCTATGAAATATGCGGTTTCCTGTAACGTTTCCCTGAACCAAATCATGAATCCCTGGTGAAAACGTATCTTGTTCCATCGGTAAATCCACCAGTGGGTAATCTACTATAATCTACTGGGAATATATGTATATATATATATGTAATTTACATTAATTTACTATAATGTACTATAATCTACTATAATCCACCATTGGGTAATCTACTATATGTGTTTTTTTGTTGTTTAATATTATATCCCTTGAGCAAATACCACGGTTTTTGTTGAGGATGTTCCTTTACAATCCTTTACCTCCATAGGTCCCTGAGATGTCCCCAAAAAACAGTGAGATCAGCGTCTGATTGGGGGATCATCCCAAAGATTCAGAAGCTTTCAGAGTTGGGAATGGTTCCAACTTGGGGATGATCCCCATGGTTAGCAATTTTTAAAGACCTGCATTGATTATCTGATTACCAATGATTACTGTAGCTCAATCTTGCTTAGCTACAAGAAAACTCGTTTATGGCTATTTGTGTTGCCATAAACGGGTTTTCCAAAAGAGACACATTTCTGGGCAAACCCAAATATTGATTTTGAGGCTTCTTCACTATGTATCAGCATGATTTTCAGAGAGTTTCACTAGTGCGGCAGGCGAAGCTCATCTTGCTGCTAAAGGATCTGCCCATTGATGCCCTGGCAGTAGAAGTTCAGGGCAGGACCTTAGAGAGCCTCGGTGAAGATAGGTAGTGACTGGCTTGCTTCAAAACTACTGTAGACTTGGGTGGTGTATTTCATGTGTTATGGATATTTGTATATATATATAAAGTTAGATGAGTTCCTTAAAATGGTGTTATGTAGAGCCATTTTAATGTGGTAAACCCAATAATAAGCAATCCACTGAAGGGTTATTGTATGCCAACCTATAACGGGATCTTTGCAAGTTGCAATGAATGATGAAGGTTTGATCAGTCGAAATGGAGATTTAACAAACCAAACATGTTAATGTTTATTTGAACGTATGGGTCATGGATACAGGGGGTTACTCGTAACATGATTACTGGGGGTAACACACACACACACATATATATATATACATACATAATGATCAAACAGTTGTGATACGAGTGTATTTACTGTATAATTTACTGTATATTATATAATTGATTTTAATTGTATCTATACGGTATCCCAAAATGTGATACCAATATATCATAGGGTCCAACAGTCCAACCAATCAATAATGGACAGTAGAGGATAAATCCCTGAAAAATAGTGGCAGAAAACCAAGAATCATAGGTATGTAATGAGATATTTTTGGATAGGTGTAACCAACGATGGAGGAGCCAGCAAGTTGGGGTATTGTTTTATTTGCCACATACTGAGATACCATAATAAGATGATGGGGATATCTGGGTACGTAATTACTAGGTCACTAGGTATTGACCAGGGGGCTGGGTCAAGTCAGAAACCAATGGACCAGCAGCGAAGGTTGGTCCATATTTATAATGTCTACACCATCTGTCGACATGGAAGCCCGAGCAAAATGGTTCGATCCAAGCGGGCCCGATGGCAGATGCAAAATTGACATCTTTTGACCTCACTGTGACGGATTGGTCGCGTCGGTGAATTGGTGAATTCCATGTGAATTGGTGAATTCCATGACCCAACTGATCTCTCGTGAAATTTCCAGAGGGTATATACATATATATATATATATATATGCTAACCCCCCCCCCTGATACCTACTTTTTACTGTTAATTCCTTCCTTTCTTCGTAACTACATCTGTGCTGGCAGCAAGTCATTTGCAAGAACCATGTGGGTTACATGCTTGAGGGAGCGTGGGTTCAAAAGGATTAAGCTATGAAGGCTTTGCACAAAGTGCTGCGTTACAAGTTCTCACTTGGGCAAACTACAGCAAGTACTTTGCACGAATCACGGTCACATGCTTGAGGGAGGGTGGGTTCAAAAGGATGAAGCTATGAAGGCTTTGCACAAAGTGCTGCGTTATAATTTCTCACTCGGGCAAACTACAGCAAGTACTTTGCACGAACCACGTGGTTCACGTGCTTGAGGGAGGGTGGGTTCAAAAGGATGAAGCTATGAAGGCTTTGCACAAAGTGCTGCGTTACAAGTTCTCACTTGGGCAAACTACAGCAAGTACTTTGCACGAACCACGTGGTTCACGTGCTTGAGGGAGGGTGGGTTCAAAAGGATGAAGCTATGAAGGCTTTGCACAAAGTGCTGCGTTACAAGTTCTCACTTGGGCAAACTACAGCAAGTACTTTGCACGAATCATGTGGGTACATGCTTGAGGGAGGGTGGGTTCAAAAGGATGAAGCTATGAAGGCTTTGCACAAAGTGCTGCGTTACAAGTTCTCACTTGGGCAAACTACAGCAAGTACTTTGCACGAATCACGGTTACATGCTTGAGGGAGGGTGGGTTCAAAAGGATGAAGCTATGAAGGCTTTGCACAAAGTGCTGCGTTACAAGTTCTCACTTGGGCAAACTACAGCAAGTACTTTGCACGAACCACGTGGTTCACGTGCTTGACACTTTAGGAAGGGGGGATTCAAAAGGATGAAGCTGTTGAGGCATAACATTATATTGAGGTAAAGAGTGGCACTTGCCTACGGTTCGACGAAGACCCCTGCAACCGCAGTAGCTCCCACGATATAGCGAAGAGAAGAAGCATCCTTTTTTTGGCCATCGCACGCTCGCACTCGGTAATCTACCCCAGATACCACTGTACAAGTGCGCCTGTGCATGTCCACAGGTCTTTTCCTCGATTCCAGTACTCGTACTGGCCCGATCTCAATTGCATGCAAAGCATGCGAGCCCCGACGCATGCCTGCTGGTTCAAGGTCACGCGTTCTTTTAAAAAACGCCAGCATCGGTCGACGATCTGCGTACCGGACTTCACCTGCATGACTTTGCCGCCAGGAAGACGATGCTTTTGGACCTCGACATACTTCGGAGCCACCCATCGAAATTTGTTGCCCACCTTTACTCGTGTCTTCTTGTGTACGACACGGTCGTGTAACATACCTGGGACTTGTGCCCGGTAACTCTTCGCAGAATCTGTGTGTAGAATCACATTTTTTCCCTCCAGCCATTTTTTGGCAATTGGCTTCCACTCGACTTTGCGCACTGCTCCCGGGCCCGGAGCGCGCAGTGCTGCCAGCGGAGGTTTCAGGCGGTGCAGCACAAGCGTACCCGGCTTGCCTCGCTGCACTATGCCACACCACTGCTCCCATTGGACTTGCCCTTGAACAATCTTTTTGGCAAACGTGGCTTCGTCAGCTTCCACATCTGCCCATTCATGTCCTCGTCCAAAGCAAATCTCCTTCTCCTTTTCCAGGACGTAAGCTTCACGTAGTGTATACAGCCTCTTCTGCATGTCTTCAATGGCTTTGTGATTCACATACATAAGGCGGTGGATGGCTGCATGTGGCACACGGTTCAGCAAGAGCAGCAGCAAGGCTGCCTGCGTTGAAAGTGGAGTATGTGACTTGCCCCAATGGTCCACAAACAAAGGATGGGCATAGTGAGGACTGATATATGCCTGACAGTTTTTGGCATTGCACCTATGTTTCGGTGGGCCGCCCTGTCTCTGAGGAGCCAACTTCCCCAGGGTTCCATGCTGACAGCGAGGACAAACGGACCCTTCCAAACGAGGTAGCAAACCATCTTTTCGCAACAGCTCCACTAACGCACGGGGCGAGCATGTCAAGAGCTCTGGCAATGACCTTTTCCATGAGTCTCGATCCCCCCGCACCTGCTTCACAGCTTCAGGATCACGAACATAAGGAACTCGTTGCCAATTCGCCTTCTTCTTTGGCTTGAGGTAAGCAGGCCGTTTCAAAACTTGCCGTGTCTTGCCCTTCTTCGCAATGATGGGGTTGAAGCGCGGCGCCATACTCTCTACTATGGGAATGCTTGTTTCTCTAAGATCCAAAAGCTTCTGGTAGAAGAAAACATAACAATGCTGATCGGTTACAAGTATGCGATGACCACATTGGACCAGTGAAGTGACACAAGCTCCTTCATATGTTTATATTGCCCGTCGAATGCTGCCAACTGCTGGGATGGCATGATTGTTGCAAGACAAGCACGTACACACGTTCTATGTTATCTTGCTTATGTCTTCCCAACAGCAACACGCACAGCTTCTTTTTATCGCCCGCTACTGTGAGCAGATGTCGCTCCCCATATTGTACTATATGTACATGCCACACGACGGCATTCCCGGCTCACTCATGGAGGAAGATTGCAGCCTCTGTGTCCGCCTCGAAGTCATCTCCATCTGGACCAGTAGATTCTTGCCACTCTTCTACCGCATCCATCTCAGCAGCCTGGGCCAAGGCTTCCAAGTCGGCTGATGAACCATCTGCAGGAGCCTCCTCTGGTCGACTTTTGGTTCTCAGACGCTTGGCAGGTGGATAGCGGAACTGCCCAATCCGATGGCAGCGCAAGGCCGGATTTGGAATGATGACTGGCGGAGGTGGCAGAACAGTTTCTTCTTCCTGAGACGATTCTCCTTCTGGCCTGTCAGAGAGACGGACTGACTGTGCAAGGCGGGCGCGCCACAGCTCGGCTTCGATCTTCTCGTTGGCATCTTTGATGTAGACTTCCGGTCGTCCGGCGGCAAACTTTTCCATGCCCAGAGAGATTGTGCGGACCTCTTGCTGGGTTTCCTGTTCCCACTGAGGGCCATACTCCACGATACCGAGCTTGTACTTGGAATAGAGCGGCTTGTCCTTTTCGGAGAGGAGGTCTTTGTGCAGCTCATCCACCTGGATTCGATGTACTGGGGCCTCTGGATCCTGATTGGGAAGCCGAAGGTAGACAGCATGTTGCCCCACAAGCAAAACCACGGAGCGTTTCAAGCAAGCGAGGACGTCAGCCTGCTTGTCCCCTGCAAAAAGACGTCTGGTCATCTTCATGAACTCCTCGCCCGTGATGAAGATGCGTGAGTCATCTAATGGCTCATCCTCACGGTCCAAGTCATTCGGCGCATAAGCTCTCATGCAATTCCTCGTGAGCTTTGCGTCATTGTAGCGACCCGACGTAGTTTGCTCTTCTTCCACAGTCAAGAAGGACTTGAGGTCGGCCATGGAGACATTCTCACGGTTGGGGTCGTCCAGGAAGATGCCCTCGTACACATTGGCCACTTGATGCCGAAAGTTATCAAGTGACTTGGCTCTTCTCCATCCTGGCACAGCATCTTCTTCTTGCAACCTGTGGATATGATACCTGCCCATAGCAAGAATCACAGCAATCAAGGCAGGAGTTTTGCCAACCCCGGGCCAGCCCAAAGCTACGACCCCGTAGCAGACGAAAAGTGGGTACAGGACAGGCAATAACTTCTCAGCTAAGAAGGGTTTCAATGAGAAAGTGGTCAAGGGGAAGCCCTTCTGCAATGTGGCACCATTGGAAGCCTTGGACTTGTTTTGTGCCATGATCCTCACTTTGCCTTCTGGCCAACCAGCAATGGGACTCTCCGCATCTTCTCGGATGTTGAGTAAAATCCATGTATACTGCTCATTGTTGGCATCCGTCTCAGGCGCATGGTCATTGATAAAGGCCACGCCTTGGAGTAAAGTGTCAGTGTCTGGGGACCATGTCGATGAAGAGCTTGCACTATTCTTCGCTTGTGCCTCCCATCTCGTCACTGTGCCCCAGTGCACATGATGTCCAGGCAGGCGGTCCAATAAGGATTGGAAAGCCTTCTTGACAGCCCACGGACCTGGACGAGAGAAATGAACGTAGGCAGATCCTGCAGGAATTTTCGTGGCGTCCCGAATCGCCATCTTGTCTTGGAAAGTCACAAGCTTGATTACATCCAATTTCCCGTGGCCTTTCTCCATGGCAATACACCCAACCTTTGAGTGAGCTGGTAAGGCATGAGCAAACTGCAATGCAGCTGGTAGACTCTCGATCCTTTGCTCCTGGCAGACCGCTGCAACATTTTCGGCAGAACCACAATTCTCCACATCCTGCTGCACATCCACTAACATCATTGTAGCTGCTCTGAGACCATTGAGTGGACGACAGCAAGAGAGGAAGTCAGATATGCTCATGGGGTTCTCGATGCTGGCACTTGTTTTGGATTCACAGCGCGGGGCCGCCAAACTTTCAAAGCGCCACTGCTTCCCACCGTAGACCCGCATCGCTTCATCGATGATCTCAGTCGCCATGGTGAGGACACAGAGAGACTAGACCCAGCGAGGCGCACAGAGGGGGCACGATACTATGAGCGTAGAAGCGTTGCAGAAGAGATGGATATGCAGAAGCAATGGGAACGAAGCAGACGAGTGCTGGCAGACACAGTCAACTAAGTATAAACTCAAGTCTGGAACCAAGTCTGAAACCAAGTCTGAAACCAAGTCTAAACTTATTAAGTTTGCTACACTTCGAACTTATCCTCCCACCTTCCCCTTCCCTGTTTCAAAGGTTACATGGCAATGTGTCTTGCATCGTGCTCCGTGTCTTCGCGAATGCGCAATCTTTTTCATCCGCCGCCGATGTCTCTGGCTCAGCCGCTCTCGCAGGCTCGAAGCAGACCCCTCTATCCTGTACGGTTCTGCTGCGATGCTAAAATGGCCTGCAACTCCAGCACTTTCTGCTGTGTTTTCTCCAACTCGTCCGCCGCTTCAAGATACGTCTCCAACAAATCATCAAAGTCATGACACAAGCTGCACCTCTGGATTTTCAGTGGACGTTCCAGAGTCTGCCCGTTGTCCTGCTCTCCTGCGCTGCCGGCACCCAGCACACCCTCATTCCAAGATGCCACACTTGCGCTCCCATTGGATCCTGCAACCTCCTCTGGACTGTCCACGACGCCACCTACAGGCGAGGGGGGGGCAATGTTGAGGGCCGGGTTGGGCACGTACTCGTACTCAGTATCAACTTCAGGTGCAACGCCTAAAGACGGGTTCGGTACTCCTTGCCATTGCTCTTCTTCTGATGCCGACGAGGAGTCAGAGTCAGAGGAAGAGTCAGACGTGGACGACGTCGACGAGGATGAAGTACCATTCGTCAGCTGCAAGACCTGAGAGAGCGAGAAATGACAGAAGGCATATGATCATACCGAACATGTCTTCGTAACTGTATACATTGGTGTCCCTTGCTACTTGTGGACTTATACCTTGACTTTAAGTAGACTTGCCGATGGCATAAGTCTGGAGATAGTGTGATAAGTAAAACTAAGTAGGAGATTTTTTGGTGTTACTTATAAGTTTGTTAGCTACTTATAAGTAGGGATAAGTATTGTAAGGTGGTGGAACATGAAAAAGTTATTTTTACTTAGCTACTTGTGTTTTTCTTGGATTTTGAAGGTTTTACTAAGTAGGTTGTTTTTTTTTATCGTTTTTGTATGATCGTAGGCGTCATGGCTCAAGTTTTGAAAGAAATAGTTTCGACCCAAAAGTTTTTGCATGGTGTAAAGACCCTACCTCATTACGATGAGCTGCAGCGAAAACAATTGGAACGACTCAAGCCGATTGTGCAGAAGCACGTCATCTCTGTGGAGATGGCGGGTCGCATCATGGAGTCCTTCTCCGATGTCTGGAGTGTAGGAATTTTAGATGAGTTGAAGGCATTGGTTGCCGAGCAAAGTGAGTCACAGGAGGATCTGGCAAGCCGTGCTGGCTTGCAAGACTTCACCGCTTTGCCGAACTATTTATCGAAGGAATGGTGGCAGAAATTAGAATCTCGTGCCGCTGGAGTTTATAAACTTGAGCTCTTGACCAATTTTGCTGCCACTTTGGGTCTGAAGAATCCAACGGAGGCGTCCTATGGCGCTTTGGTGGCATTGTCCTTCTATGCGGACAATGTTGAGGCGTGGCCAGAATCGGACCAGGTGAAGCTCTTGAGGGCACATAAGGAGCGCATGCGCCGTTGGCTGAATAAGGCAGCAGCTGCCAGTGTCCGTTTGGAAATTTTGCCCGAGAATCCAGAGGAGATTCCAGTTTCTTTGTTTGCTGCTGCATTCCCGACGGGATTGATTCCGGGTTCCCCGGAAATTATGGATAAAGCAAGGTTGCGGCGGGTCATCGCTGATTTCCGTTTGAGGGCACCTAAGGAAGGCATGTCTTCCATGTCAGTGTTGCCGGCAAGTGGTCAAGTTGATCCTGCTGCTTTGGTGCATGCTGCAGCCACCTTAGTGGCGCGTGTGCAGACACAATCTCGACAGACCGAGGTTGACATACCAGGCTTTCGGATGTTGGAGCCTCGGGACGCAAAGGTGACCGTGGCAGCGCCTGCGTTGGCTTTGGAAGACACGAAGCCTGTTGCTGCTGCCACGCAGCCCTGTGAGGCAAAGGAAGAGCTTCCGGACAAAGTCGAGAGCGAGACCTGCGGGCCGCAAGCTGCAATCGCTGCTTTGCGGGGTGAGTTGAAAAAGAAAGGAAAAGGAGTGCCCGGAAGAAATGCAGAGGTAACGCCAAGCAAGAAGCCTGCCATACGTTCGAAAGCCAAGTGCAAGGGTATGGCAAGGCCTGCCGCTTCTGTGAAAAAGATTTTGAAGCGTCCCGCTGCTGTTGCGGCATCGTCTTCCGCGGGAAGCATGTCGGAGGGGGGATACAATGATCGCAGGGAGACCTTGTTGAAGAAGATCCCAAAGGATGTATTGCAGCGATACAAAGGTGGTTGCTCCAGGTGCTATCATCGCGCCTTTTGCACTCTGAGCTGTTGGGCGCGCAGGGGTTATACAAATGATTGACAAATGAGACATTTGACGCGTTCTCCGTGAAAGGGTGCTTTCATGATGTGTGGATTTCATTTTGTCATGGCACATTATCACATGTCTTTATATAGTATGGACAGAATGTAATACATGTAATGTCTCTGCTCTGCGTGGGTGACAGCAGGGTTGTGCGTGGATGCATGTCTTTATAGGCTCAAGTGTCCGTTGGGTGCCGCCGCGTCTCCGACCTGAGGCCTGCGGTATATGTCTCGCGTTTATGTTTGTATGTATGATCTTTGGATGTCATTTCGACTTGAAGGGAAGTGCAGTGCATTCGGTTTTTCGAGCAGGGTTACTGGGTTTTATAAAAAGCTGTGTGGCAAGAAATCATCATGTTTTTGAGATGTGCAAAATGTTCAAAATCAACGGAGAGATGCACAATTTCAAAGCAAAAATTGATATCTAGTGAAAACTTGGACCAGGACAAGGACCTCGAGCTTAAATCCTTTCATTAATCTTTTGGAAATTTTCTACGCAGCTGTTGGGAACATAGATTTCAAATTTATCCGTATAGGTAGCAATCTCAAACTTGCGCTGGCTGAAATCGAATTAATGAAGGCAATCGCTCTCAGAAATTCCGAAGGAGCCAAGGCATCCTGAATAAAAGGAGCCAAGGCGTCCTGTGCCTCCGCCACATCAGGCAAGAAGAAACGGTGATCATCAGAATGCAACCTTGCTCTTGCAATGGACATGACCTAATTGTTTGAAGGATGTCTTATTGAGTTCATGATTGGAAGAAATCATGTATATCTATATATTTGGTAGCGGAGCTCACTGTGCAACAAAAAATCTTTCAATCGATGCGTTTGACTACTGAAAGCTGGAGCCGCAACACACTAATTCATCATAGTCTGCGACAGTACTGACCAATGAGGCAAACGCGTGGTGACTGACCATGAGCTGAACCAAGGAGAATTTTAGGATGCTGCTTTTTTCCAACCAGCTGGACAACCGAGTCTGGGTCCCAGAGAAGATTCCAAAACTAAAATATGATACGTGAAGCACATTGTTTGCTCCCACAGCAGCTACCTTTCACTGCGCTTGGCCATCATCCACAAGCTGGAAATGAATGACCACATCTTCACATTCCCAGACACCATACGCTTCGATGCAAGCTGCCCAATGGCCATCAGCCATGTAGATCGAGTGTTTCTTCACATAGTAGATGTCACTGTCGCCATAGAGGATGTCTTTGCGTCCACACAGGTAGACCTCGTTGTTGGCTAGCCAAATCAGCACAGCTTCCGGTCGAGGATCATCGGTGTCATCGATCCTGTGCCAGTCGGACTCAACAAGAAATTGCGACTCCACTTTGTACTGGTACTTTGAAGTGTCAGGGACACCAGCTGGCCATGGCATTCCTGAATCTGCAGGCGAAAACTTCCAAGCATGTGTAATGAAAGAAAAAATGGCCAGCTAACCACAAGCACGCACAAGAAAAAATCCAAATGAGACAAGTGGCCCATCCGACTTTCATGAGTCCGTGGAAGGTTGTTCCCTGACCCAGCCATATTTAATAATTTAACAAGAGTGCGCAGCTGAGCCAGACTTCCAGAAACAAGCAGCTTGATGTTTAAAGGAGCCGTATGGCATCCTGCAACCAAATGAAACAGTCAGACTCACACAGATGTACTTAGACACCTTTTCGGATTATGATCTCCCAGCCCTTGTGTGTCCACGCATCTATGGCGACCCGAAACATGATCATGACCGATGGTCATTCAAAATATCTGTGCATGCCCGTTACAAAAATGTGAAGGAGCGTTAAAGCGTCCTGCAACTACAAAGGAGCCATGAGAGGCTTCCTGCAAAGGAGCTAGAAAGCTTCCTGCATCTTCCTGCTCCCAGTCAATGCTTGCAAGCTGCACGGTTTCTTTCCCTGGGCTAGGCAATCAGAGGTCAGAGGCCGGGGACCAGGGCTACAATTTCTGAGCTGCACCCCAAAGCTACAGACAGTGGTCGTTTGCACAGCAGGCTCCCAACATTCTAGTGAAAATGTTTCGCTGCCGTGTTTCCCTAACTTGAAAAATCGCAGCGGCTTTCTAGCTGCAGCAACGGTCAGCTCTCAACATCCGTTCTGCCATGATTTTCACTCAGTGGACACGGTCAGCTGGACATAGTGCTCCGGGGGAATCACTACGCTGCCCTTCAACCACACCATTGGCTTGATACCGGTCAAGCCTTGCTTGGCCCACCTTGAAGTCCACAGGATCTGAACCGCATTGAGGTCCCAGGCATCTGCAGGGACGAGCGCTGCCAAAGTGGCAGGGTTTTGCTTTTTGGCATCGCCTTCCACCGTTGCTCTCTCAGCTCTCCAGCCAACTTCGTGCTTGAGTTCGATGTCAAAATCTCCAGGTCCATGGCAGCCTTGCGGATTGTCCTTCAGGATGTGGTAGCGGAGCAAAACCTTTTCTGGCTTGGTCTTCTTCATGTCTTCCAGTGCCTGGTGCAGGGTCAAGCTCATTCCATCCAGGATCAGAATGTCACTGCTGGAAGTGAATTTCCAAACAAGGTCAAGGGCAGGATCAAAACCTTCTCCTGCTTCTTTCGGGGTCCACCAGCGCCCCTTGTGCCAGCTGGTGAGGTGACCGGTAACGGCCACATCACTGGCTGTCGGGTTCAGCAGGACCAGGACATTGCTGGGGTAGAGCTGGAAAGTCAATCCCTTCAACTTTCCAACCCCACTGGCCTGCACCATCATCTTTGTAGCGTCCAGGCCACTGATAGCTTTGACTGTCACAGGCTGCCCTTCTGCCTGCGGCGCGGAATCCACTCGTTGACGTTTGGCTTTGGGCATGCTTGAGAGATCATGTCTTGGTGGAAGCTGACTCTCCATGTCTTCCTGCATTTGGGCCCATTCATCCTTGAAGCTGCTGGCAGCCCATTTGCCAACAAGGTCTGGTGGCAAAACCAGGTTGACGCCATCGACGATGCCAATGGCAAGCTTTGGCACCAAGACCTGGGGAGTCTCATCAGCCGCCAATGTTTCAGGCAGAGGCTCCATGGCCTTGATTTTCAAGCTGCGCATGAGGTAGAGTTCCATGGCAAAATCTTTGAGGTCCTGCTGCGCCCAATCAAGCTGATTCTCTGGAGCCAACGCCACATAATGCCAGGCAGTCGAAGACTCCGGGGATTTCAGCACTGTTCTGGCAAATTCGCCAGACTTTGGGCTGGCATCCAAAAGAACACAGCAAGGATGGCCTGCAGGTAAGCTTCCAAGAGTGGAAGCCAAGAGGGCTCCAGCAGCCGACTCTCCCAATTGGGAATATCTTTCCGCCATGCTCACTCGCTGCTCCAAATCAGTACTGGGAAGGTCCTCCTCAGACTCAGGAAGGCGCATGTCTTTGGTCAACATCATTTTGGCCCTGCTGCTGGTACGATTGTTTTGAAATAGGCTGCAGCGTTGCCAAGGGGAGGCCTGCTGGGCTGAGGAAGTTCTCATAGGGAATGCCAGCCGCAAAGGATATTCCAAGGGCCGGCGGTCTCGTGGATCTGCGCGCTCCTGATGTTTCAGTGATAGCCCACCTACCCCCCAAAAAAAGGCCTAACAAGTTTTATATTATATAAATGATTTATGGTAAACATGAAGATATGAAAACCCAGGAAAAGGTTCTTGAAAGACAACACGTCCTCAAAGGACAGGCTGGCTTTCTCATCCATGTTGATTTCTTTCTCAGACAAGGACTTCAGGAGCAAAGTTTCACTCTTGTACAAAGATCCCTTGGCTCTTTCCCATACCGGCATGACAACCAGGCCCATTGGTTCGAAATCCTCTTGACCCAGGATCTGCTGCAAGACTTGCACCTGAAGTTGCATCATCTGCTCATCCCTGATTGTGGACGGGCTGGCCCAGTTCACCATCAAAAGGATCGGCAGGCGATCCACCCTGTACTCCTTCTTCAGCTGGAGAAGACCATTCAAAGCATGCTCCACTGTGGAAGTGAAGGAAAACTTGGCCACAGCACCTTTGAACAGTTCTTCCACAGCATCCAAGGCTTGCAGCCTCCTTTTGCGGGTGTGTTCCACCTTCGCATGGTACAGCAACGTTTCATGACATTCCAACTTGCTTCTGTACATCTGCGTGGCGGCAATGTCATTCTTCAATTTCTCCCTCAGCAGCTGAAATTCCATTGCTTCGAACTTTCCGGCTTCAATTTCCGTCTTTGCTTGCCCGACCAGTGCAAGGTCCGTGCAGGTGACCTTTTTTTGGTTGAGCTCACGAAGACATTTCCTGAAGGGCTGGACGGGTATTTGACCAAACTAAACAAGATTGGCGCCAAAAGAAACGCAATAAAGATCTAATTTGAACGAGCTTCACATCCAAGAAAGAGATCGCCTTCTTGCGCTCATGAAGCAAGCTCTGAAGGTCCAACTGCAGGGCAATGTCGCCATTCAGGAACTTGGTATGCACCGGCTGCAAATCTTCCTTGGACAGAGCGTGACCCAAAGCCTGCTCCTTTGCCCAGCACCAAAATGCGGACAGTGCGCTGTGCTCTTCCAGCCTGCTCTTGTCAAGTGGCCTTCTGGCCGCCGGACTCTTGTTCAGCTGCTGCTGGTTCAGGCTATCTACCCAGGCGTTGAAGGATGTCTCAGTCACATTGAGCACATTTTGCCAATCAGGCTTCGTAGTTCGCGGGGCGAAACCAGGCATGAGCTTCTTGTTGCAAAAGCTATCCTCATTCCACCAAACCCGCTTGGATCCCACTTTGGACAGCAAATCCAACATATTGGTGACGCCAGTCTTACACGGGGCTTGGAGCAAGTTCAGGGCCGCCATGCGCTTGTTGCCAGTCACCGAAGCTTTCCCAGTAGCCTTGGCGTTGAAACGCTCCAACACTTCTGACGGTTGGTAGCTGCCACCGGCCTCCAATTTCTTGAGCTTGCACACCCAAGTCATGATGTCATGGGGGGCCCGGATTCGTCCTCGATTCGAAGCATGTGCGTTGGCAATCGCCACTGAGGCCAAATCGGCATGAGATTCAAAAAGCACATGAATCATTTGGATCGAGTGGAACAGATCAGGGAACATTTCCGCCAAATCCACATCCTCCTCCACGATGATCGCCAAAAGCAGCAACAAAGTGGAACATCGTGCCATGCCCTTCACATAGCGGACCTTGAAGCTCTGCTGGCTTGCTTCGCGATCTGCGGGCGTGGTCCACAGCAACAATGGCTGCGCTTCGGTCAAGAATCCATGGACCAAAAACTCTTCTGCCAGCTCGCAACACACAGATCCAAAAGGATATCCCTTAGTGCTTGCAGCAACCTCATGCGACAACATGGTAATGTGGACCAAGGCTTTCTCGCGCTTGCCAAGCAAGGACGGCTGCACGTAGTCGATGGAATCCATCCAGGGACACATCTTGAGAAGCACCTCATCTAATCTCTCCCTATTCAGGCTCTGCTCCAAAAACTGGACAGGGCCACCGGCCTTCTCACAGTTCGAGGCAAAGATCTCGAGCAACGTCTGCTTCAGCAAGTTTCGGTCCGTGATGCCAGCTGTGCGTGGGCCCGGCTGGACCGTTTTCAATCCCAAGTCTTCCTGACTACCTTCCTCGCTTTTGACCATGTCTTCTTCCTTGAGAACCTCGTTCTTGACGTCCTCGACGTTCATGGCAGGCAACAAAATCGCAAATCGGACGTGAAGGCTGTGATTAGCCAAAACTGGCCCGTTCATGGAATGATGGGATGATGTCTTGATGGTCAATAAGAGTTCATTCAACAGTGTACTATATTGTATGATCTAATTCATTTGATCTAATTCTATAATTGCGGGGAGAAGCACAATGATAGACCAGAGGAGCAAATGATGCATCCTGCAAATGAGGAGCCATAATTTTTAGGCATCCTGCAACTGCGATTGACATGTTTGATTCTAGGAGCACACAAGGCATCCTGCAAAAAATGAAAGGAGCAAAAGTGCATCCTGCAGACAAGCTGGTCACGCCACGCAGCTCCTTTTCACAGACATCGGAAGAAGCAGCCATCAGCGATTTACGCAGCGATTCCAGTGCCAGAGCCGCCCATAGGGCCAGGGCCTGAGCTTGGCATTAATGTTATTAAGTGCTCCCTGGAAAATCTGGGAAAAAAGGTTGACAACTATGATGGAGGAAGTAGAAATAAAATGGGAGCGAAGACTTAAATTTAGTCCCCGGGGCCATCTTCATCGTCATCACGACGCGGTGGCGGCTTTGGACGCACGCCTTCCGGGTGACGTTCTGCATACCACTCCTTTCGCTTTTTGCCCTTGCTTCCTCGTCGTCTTTTTTTCCGGGACCTGGACCTGGAGGGAGAAGAAGGAGCCGCCCGAGGATCAGGATGCAGGCCTGGGCGCAAAGTCATTGGCAGGTTTATACATTAATGCCATATCATTACTTCGCATGTGGCCAAACGCAGTCACTCAAAGAAAAAATCAAGTCTTAAAAAAATAAAGGTTGACCGTTGACCAGCTACTGCCCGCAGAAGGGCTTCCCATGGACCCGCCGCTAGAACGGCGCTCCCTGTACCGGGCCACTCGAATCGGATCCACAGGAGCAGGCAAAGACCTTGAAGGTGGCCGGCTCGGTGGCCTTGGTGGTGGTGGTCCACTCGGTGACCGAGGCCGACGGCTAGCAGCTGCGCTGCTGGCTTTGCTAGTCACACCCGGCGAATCATCACCGGGGCGCAATGCTTCCACTCCTGGTCCAGCGGCCTTGGGTTCAGCACCGTCAGCAGCAGGGGTTGGCTCGGTGGCTTCTGTCGCAGCAGGCATGGCCGCAGCAGCAGCCTCAGAAGGCGGGCTAGGTACAGGCGGCCTTGGAGCTGGTGTTTCTGCAACAGTGACAGGCGGTCTCATGAGGAGCTCAGGTCTTGGCATCATCATTGGGGGAGCCATAGGAGGCGTGGCAATGGGAAAACGAGGGGCAGGGCACGGTGTGGTTGGAGCAGCATCGTCTGGCGGTTCCTCGATGATTGGAGTGATCACCGGCCCACGAGGACCAGTGGGAGGAGGTGGCGCAATCGCACCAGCAACAGGGCGCATCATTGCAGGATGCCAAACCATTCCTGGATGCCACGGCAAGCCCATTCCGCTTGCTGCCGGTGGCGCCATCATTCCACCAGGCGCCATCATTCCAGGCAGGAGCCCACCCTGCCCCATCATCATGGGGTGTGCCGCCATAGCTTGCATTATAGAGGCCGTGGCTGCATTCCTTTCATCCTGCTCCAACACCTCTAACAACGAATTTGCCAAGTGGCGCAGCGCCCGGCGGTCACCCGCCATGGCCCCGAGTGGTGCAGGAAGTTAAAGCAGCTGTGTCTGTCACATTTGAACATCGTTTGAACTTGTGATTTATTTCTCAGTTTTGAACTTTTGAACTTGCTGCTTTTGAACTTGCTGCCATGTTTCGTCATGAGCCCCCCCTAAAAAATTCAGCAGAGAGCAAAACATTGCATTCACTGTCACATGCCACATGCATGGCTTCTCTGGAAGAAAACAATTGGGGAAATCATTCGAAGGGGATATATATATATATATATATAATCACGCTTGACTTTGTTTTTCCTTGTTTTGGTCGGTTATTAGAACACTACTTAGTGGAACACATGCTATTAATTGCGTGCAGTATGAAATTCTCGGCATATTTTTAATGTCAAATTCTTTGGTGTTTTTTTTCCAAATTGGGAAAACCTGCATCTTTTTTTCCATAGCTGGATCACTGGAATCAGCTTCTGCATAACTTTTTATGCAACTGTAAGAAAAAAATCTTTTTGAGGTGGACGTTTTGAAGAGTACAGGTTCTATTTATTTCTCTCCCTGGCTATCATTTGGCACTACCACGGCAAGCAGAACATTCTTCACAATCTATGGAGGTCCCCAGCGCAGAGAAATACTTTTTCTATGGGGGATTAAAATAGCGCTAAACAAGAATTTGCCGCGAAGTAAGCTACAAAAAAAACGTATACGACTTCACAGCATTTCGTCAGAAATGCTGCGATCTCAATTTGCTTGCAAGCATTTACCGCGAAGTCACCTACAAAAAAAAAGTAGTGGACTTCACAGCAGGAGCTCGTTTTTAATTAGAGATCACAGCATTTCGTCAGAAATGCCGCGATCTCAGGTACGGAAAAAACGTAGTCGACTTCACAGCAATTATCCATCTTCGCGTCTTCGCGTGCTTAATTAAAAATCAAACAAACTCCCTATTATAGCAGGCCCAAAGCTCCAATCCAGCAGAGACTGATTTTTATTGTTACAAACCATGAAGCTGCAGCAAGGCACCTGAAGGTAGCCTCTGGACGCTCCAATCTATTGACTGAGAACCGCTCAGCAAATATCTTTCTGCTGCCGCTAAAGAAGTATTGATGACTGCGGTCAATTTTTGCTTTCAACTTATGGAATAGTGCCATGAGAGCGCTTTGCAAAAAGGACAGCTAGAAGATTTCCTTGGGAAAAACTTGAAGTTAAAACACTTGTCTGGACGAGAAAATTTACCGGAGTCTTTTTTTGGGTCCAAGTAGCTTTGAGAAATGCCAAGTTGCAGTGCAATCTCTTTTCCGGCCAGGTGGTCCCAAACAGACACAGGCAAAGCAAAGGAAGAGTAGACAAATGAATGAAAGAAAAGTTTGGTTCATATTTCTTCAGTGAAATTGGCTGGAGCCACTGAAGCTGCTGAATGTCTCTTGGACCGGACATGCTCTGATGAATCAAAAGAATCGAATGACAAATGCGCTTGTATTACTAAGCCCACTTCCAGATATATTTGGGTGCAAAAGATGCTTCCTCTCTTAGCAGTTGCAAAGTATATTTGAAGCAGTATGGCCAGTGCACCCCGCCATGAATAACATACACTTACACATGTTTTTAGCATTAACTTATTATTTTGTTAGGTAGTAGCCAGTGCCGGAAGCCAGACACTGGATTGTATTACCCAGTGCCGGAGGCCAGACACTGAGTATATCCTATGACTTATCAATTAAATATATTTTGAAATGAACAAATGCAATGAAGTATGGGATTTGGCTAGTTCATCAATCCACTTAATAACAATCCAGTGCCGGAAGCCAGGCACTGGATTGTATTACCCAGCGCCGGAGGCCAGACACTGAGTATTTACTATGACTTGTCAAGTATAGCATTAGCAGACCAAGTTGTACCAAATAGGTCAACAAATCAACATGTGGTTTTTGATTTTGAAATTTTCATCCCCATCAAATGTCCCGGCATCATGAAAAAATGTAACATCAGACCAGCAGTCTATCATATGTGTGTTCGGATTATCCCAGACAAATTCATTTACTTCCAGAGAAGCTGGAGAGACACTCAACATGCAGCTGCTGTGAGAAATCCAAGGAGCCATCTTAAGGACGGCATCCTGCATATTTACAAAAGGAGCTCAAAGGCATCCTGCAAAAAGGAGCTCTTCTTAAGGAAGGCGTCCTGTGAATTTAGCCCTGGCTAGGAGCTTCTGAAACGCGTCCTGCAAGGTAAAAGCATCATTTTTTCTTTCGGACCAGGTGCAATGAAACCCTCAGTCCACAATCTGTACACCAATTGCGGCCTGGACGCCAGAAAGCAAGGCGTCAACCATTTGGGGAGGATACGTTTCACAGAACGATGAAATCTGGATGCCTCCCTCAGCACCCTGGATCTGTCGGTGGGGCTCTTCACAAAGACAGAACTGGTTGTTGAAGATAGCATCGACTTCAGGGATGTTGTGGACCAATCGTGTCCTTTTCCTGATAGGTTCTTGGGTGTACGGGCAACGCAGCCCAAATCTGCACTGATCGAAACGGGAAAGGAAAACTCCTGGCTGGGTGCTAAGTGCAGCCAGACAATCTTCTTCCCAGGAACTGGCGCCATCTGGATGTTCCAGAATGAAGTGCCGGTCATGTTGCCTTTGGTGATTGGCAAGCTCGGCGCTGAAGGACAAAAGTCGGCCAGCTTCAAGCCGCCTGCTTTGATACCTTGTCTCCCCCATCGATTTCCTGCCCCACAATTGCATCAACTGGCTGTACAATGTGCAGGGAGGCGAGAGCATCAACACCTTAGGCTCATACAGGTTGACATGAGCCCAGACTGTCGCCCTGCCATTCACACCAGCCAGATCCATCTCTGAATCATCTTTCCAATCAAAGGATTGACCTCCGATCAAATGGAAAGCAGCACACCGCGGGACAAGCCGCGGGCGACTAAAGACTTCGGAGATGTCAACTTGGTCATCCGAGTGGATGATTTGCATGACCGCATCCACATCCTCAATGTGGTCACTCATGGCACCGAATTGAATAAGTCGCCGCCCTGGCTGCGGGTCCGGGAAGCTAATATTTTAAGCCTGAACCATTAATGCAGGCATTTTGTTTTGTTTGGCTTTCAAACGCACAGGCCAGTGAAGACGAATCTGTTTCAGTCACTGGCAAGCAAATCTGACTGATCAGTGGCGAAGCTCCATTTTTAAGCTTTCGGTTGGTCATGTCTGGCTGAATCAGCATGAGAGCCGGGTCTCAAGAATGAAAACAGGTTCATACAGTTTGATATGACCACCCAATCACTGTCGTTTAGGTTAATGGACACTATTTCCATTGAGGCCTTCCCCCTTTGCTTCTTCCAAAAGTCATGGATTCAAGGATTAGGTC